AGTGCTGCATGATGCTCGACCAAGGCTCGTAAACAAGCTCTCCTCGGATTGCGTCAAGTAATCTCCAAACGTGAATGAAGGTACCCTGATTCCGGAGAATTTTGATTTAGTCTTCGTTGCCATGACTGTTTCCAGGGAGTAGACTCTCGTTATCACATGGCCTTTTACTGTTGCTGTGGTCTTTGATCACGGATTGCCATGCTGAGTCCGTGGAGGTGACTTCGAAGGTCTATCATTGGAACCAGCGTTTTTGTGGACGTATTCTTGATAGTGCGGATTAGTGCGTTTCCCATCTGCAGGCACTTGACGCTAAAAAGGTCTCTCGTTGGTGGCCTGGTCCCACGCAGAAGCATGGGCAGGATCTTCCCCTTCACCTGCGTCGGGCTGGGCTGGCTGGGATACTGGACGTGGTGAGAGGTGAGTAAGCACACTTGACCCCAAGACAACGGCAGTGCTGACACTAGGAACCGCCTGAACTTTCAGAGATGGTTGGTGTCTTGTCAGAAGAGGGACCAGAGACAATCCCCCAACATGAACATGCGACGCCTGATCGCCTCCTGGACATCACCGAAAAACCATGAAAGGACGTCTTAAGGTTTGCATGGACTATTTTCCTGTACGGCAGATGACGAGAGGATTAGACAACTCAAGGAACCAAGGTTAGCGACATATGAGCCAAGCAGACTATTAAGCCGCAGTGAGCTTTGAAACAAGTGCGCATGAGACGACCGAGTCTTTTCCCAGCCCACAACATAAGGTGCAACTCCCGATAACTCGGACGACAAAAGAAAACGAAGAAAAAAAGAAGAAGAGACGCCGAGTAGGGGACCAAAAAAGCATGCGTGGAGCAGTGGAAAGCCATGACCAGGATGGGGGTTCTTGAGGGGTCCAATATCTTGTTGTGAATGAGGTGGCCAGGGGATTGGCGGCTTTAATAACGTCGTACTCGAGCGGAGCCGCCTGCGTTGCCAGGGCTCGAGGTTCGCAACATCTCCAACCCCCTGGTTATTCTCTCTCAGTCTGCTCGGTGGATTTGTGGCTCTGGGGCGCAGAGCGGGGCAGCGGCAGCGCCCAGCTTCCCTCGCAAAAGGCATGATCCCTCGAAATTTGCGGTCATGACGGTAGCTGCGAACCTGGCGCTAGTGGCCTGACGAGCTCGAAGTTCTGATCAGGGCCGATCGCGGGATTATGCTTTTTGCGGCGAAGAGAAAAAGAGCAACAAAAAAGGTTGGGCCGCGGCGCTCTCGAGGAAGACAAAATTTGTTAGTGGCTCGCCCGGTCCAGCGCATCCGAGCCTTCCATCCTTCGGCTCCTTGCTCCTGCTCCTGGAGGTTCCTGGCCTGGCCGCCTCTTTCCTCTTTTTTTCATGCCTGGTTTTTGGTCTGGGAAGGTATGTTTCTTGGTTGTTGCTCTTGGCGGTGGTGTGTGCTTAGTTTGGCGCAGGTTGTTTAGTCTGGTACTTCACTGGGTGGCGACTTGAGTGGGCGACGCTTTGTCCACTGATCGCTCGACAAACGTCATCGCCACCCCTCCTCCACCCCTCTCCCCCTCCATCTCCCACCCTTGCACACTCACGCTATCACTTGTTGCTGCTTTGCTGGGTCTGTTTCTTTCAATGTTGGTTTCCCCCAAAATCCTTCCACCCCACCGTCTCCACCAAGAGACGGAGCATGTGGTGTACGAAGTAATAAATTGATGTTCCTTCCTGTAGAGTAGTAATCTACGTAGTAGTACGGATTTGACGTTTCCTGCGCCAGGCCAGCCACCTGCCTCCCCCTCGAGAACCCCGGCGTCCACAACCACCATAATCAAATCACCGTCCACACTACGACCATTATATAATACTACGGAACATATGAATTCTCCCACGTTAGATGCTTCGTACTTGTTAGTTCGATATTAGTAGGAGTCAGAGACATAATACTGCAGGTCTTGGGACGTCACCGCGGTGAAGGCGGTGAGGGAGGGGTAGGGTGCGAAAAAAGGCTTCCCGCCATCCTACCTCGACTTCCAATAAGCTGTCAGAATCTGGCATCTCGATATGGCCAGGCCCTCTTCAAAGAACGCCCTCCTGCTAGCGTGCGCTGTACCAACTGCCCGTACCTCGTACCTTGTGCCTGGTCACTCTGTCCGCTTCCCCTCTCCATCCCCTGCCTAGCATTACAAATGCCAGGATCGGGGTGACCTCGTTCGAGGACCCGAAAGGAACATTGAAAAGGAAGAAAAAACTCTGCTTGGCCCGGCGCCTCCGTTCCAAGTCCTTGTCACAGCGATGCCAATTCGGTACTTCTTGCAACGCTGACTCACAACTTGCATCCCTCGTACCTTACCTACGTCGTCAAACATGGGGTCGGCCATCAAAGCAAGGCACAGGGACAACAGGACCAGAAAGATTCTACATGCGAATGCCGGACATCCAGTACAATCGTACTTCACCCTGGCCCATGACTAAAGCCCTCTTCCAACAACGCCTTATTAACACTTTACACTTTAGCATGTGGCGTGGCGCAGATAGCCTTAAACGCTACCAGTCAAGTACCAGCACTGAAATGTAAGCCGCAATAGTTCGGGGACGCCTGATTTCCTTGCCCTTGACCATGATGGACATGTCTTTTTTCCGCCTCGGGAATACCACTTTTCCATTTTGCCATCTTTTTTTCGTCCAGTTTTCTTAGAAATCCCGACCCTTCCTATTTGGGTGTGGAATCAATATTTCATGGGAGACGGTATGGGTAGCAGGGCGAGGGTATGGTCATGTAGCAGGCTGAGGCATGTACCAGGTATCAAAGAAGGGATAGAAGAGAGACATCAGAGACATCGGGATCCGGGATGCCACTCATTTTCACGACGACAGCTTTTACATATCCATGCTCCTTCCTGACTGAGGTGACTTTCCACCCCTACTTTATTGTTCCGTCATGTCACATTCCAAGACCCGCGTGCATCTGCATACAATATGTCTTCCTCTCTCCAAGACAGGACCCCTCATGTATCTATTTCATGTATCTGGTCCTTGGATGTGTGAATATATACCTGCGATTGATCTTAGTATCAGGTACTTGACGCCCATGTTTGGAGGTTTTAAACCCTTCCTCAACACCTCTCCAGTACTTGTATTGTCCCAACGATCCCATTCGTATTAAGTTTATAGAAGGAATGGCGACAGCGAATAATTCTCTGTCGTCTTCAACCATAATGTCGGCCTCCCGAACTCGGGGAAACGGTTTACAGAAGGATCAATATTGATGACTCTTGGAGCGGGCTTGGCTGCGAGGCTCCCTCAGATGACAATAGGATGCAGAGTTTCCGCATGGTCGCCTTCGTGCATGTGCAGTATTCCTCCCCTCGCCTGGAAAGCACATATGCGTATGATTCTACAAAACCAGGCAGTCCCTAGCTGACCGAATGGTTGAAAGGTGGTTGGCTGGCTGGCGGGGTCTGGGCCTAGTCCTAAGCCAGAGGACACTATCTCGCTTTCGTCCTCACTAGACCCGAGTACCACCCACATCGTCCTGGAAAGAGCAAGTGCGGTTAGCATGTTCCATTCGATTTGATGCGGGTGGTCGCAAGAAGCCGATCCATTTCCCAGGTACGGACCATGGTGTATGTACGAGGTACAGATCCATTGAGGTCATTTTTTTCTTATTTTTTAGGTCGAGGTTCCAGTGGAAAAGCCCTTGCGCATCGTCCTTCAGATGGACCATTCACATCATGTCACGAAGTACTTGATCGGTGTCCATCCATATCCGTGCTCGTCTCCCAGGTCTTGGGTTCTGATTGACTGCGGAACAGGCAACGCAAGGGGTTCTAAACGATGAAAGGTGGGTCTCTACGGGCATCATCGTATAAGCGGTCCAAGCCCATTGTCAGCGGGTACTGTGCGTCGTGTTGCATTGATCTGTGAAGGAATTCCTTCCATCTGCTGTACTAGATGGGCGAGGTACAGCCAACTACCTGTGTACTGACTTCTACATTATCCCGAGTCTAGCTTTCCCTGGAGTCGCCACCACAAGCCACCCGGCCCTGGTTTGGGGCTCCTTGTGGATTTGTTCATGGTCTGGGTAACCTTTGTCAGGAACTCGACGACTTTCTCATCCTCTCCTGATACACGACACATGACGGCGTTTTTTTTTTTCCCCCTTTGTTGTTCGTCCTTTTAACTAGAGTCTAGCGAATCCCTCAATTCCCGATCCATATTCGAGGCAATCTAGATCTGTTCTGATCGGTACTCGCCAGGCCCCAATGTCTTTCCTGTCAGCGCTCATCAACAGAAACATCGTCGCAAACTATCAAACCCATCAGACCCGATCCCGAAAAGGTCCCCTAGCATCTGATTGTCGGCCATTATTTCACACCAAAAACTTTAGTTCGACGACTCCGGAACACCGGTGACAAATTTAATCCTGATGGTTACATCTTTTTGGCCCTTTAAGTAGAGGGTAGTTTGTCATTTGATTCTTTGTATTGCTCGACGGAGAGTACATCGAATACTCAAGTACGACATCGACAGTTACTCTGTTCCTCTGTTGCTGTTACCAAAGAATTTAATCATTAAGCTACCGCCTCTAAGGAAGAAACATTGAAGCCATCAGCGGCTTCCTCACTTTGTGGCAACGGACTTCGTCATCATCGCCCTGCCTTTGTGAATTGAGAGTCCCCAAAAAAGCAGCCCCAAACCCTCCCCTCCCCTCGCAAAAAGAGGCCCAGCACGCTATATTTCTCAATAAGGCCGCCTTTCAAGTTGGCGCATCGCCCGGCAGCCCACGAGCAGGTGTCAAGACTAATGCCAACAAAGTGTCATATGGATCTATGGATTGATCCTCGAATTAACACTTGATGCGACGGAAACCACTCTGGCTCTTTAATCCCGTTTCCATTCCCTCCTCATCTTTTATATCGCCTTCTATAACCCTCTCCCTTGCTCATCCATTTTACCCCTCGATTTTCCCAAGCTCCATTGCCCCTTCCGCCTCTCCACCATTCTGCAGACCCGCCCGCCCATGATCCAGTTACTACTTCCTGTTCCGCTCGGTGTCCTTGCCCTCTTTTAATCATTCTCAAACGACGCCCCCCTCCACAGCCCGCTCACACTCCCCCCCGTCCCCGCATCCACAAGTCACCGACCACCCCTCCCCCTGCCACCCTTTCAAAGTGCGCCCCTCAGCCTCACCAGGCCCGCTCCAACATATCTACCTCCCGCATCCCGCCGTACCTGCGTAACCTCGCCTTTTCCCCTTTCCCCCCTTCCTTTGCTTCCGCTCTCCATCGACCCATCTTCCACTCCCCCGGAATCTCGACCATGTCGAGCGCATTTCGTCCAGTAAACTCTCCATTACCGAATGCCGATGCGAATACCAACATGACCTCTCCCACGACGCCCCGTTCAGCCGGTGCGTCGCTCACCGACCAGGCTCGGCATGTCGACGATGCCACGACCCCGACTAGGGCATCCTTCAACCCTTCTCTCTCCACGCAAAAACCCCTCCCCACGTCTCCCTTTCCACAGGCTGTCCAGGTACCAAACTCGGCACTATCCAGCAATAGTCTGAACGATAGAGATGGATATTCTCAGGTGAAAAATGAAGACATCGAGATGGAAGGCTCATCGGCTGGCCCGACCGACCCTACCATGGGCGGCACCGAACCTAGCATCCAGGAAGAACCTGGCTCCGACGAGGATAGCGTAAATGCCGACGGTTCGAGATCGAACAAGAAGAAAAAGTCTCAGCGATTCTACTGCACCGATTACCCACCCTGCAACCTAAGTTTCACGAGAAGCGAACACCTCGCTCGACACATCAGGTTCGTCGCCAACAGAGGCGTACTACCTTTTGCCCAGCCTTCTCTTATTTTTTTTTTTTTTTTCCGCTAACATGTTTATAGGAAACACACCGGCGAACGCCCGTTCCAGTGCCACTGCTCTCGACGATTTTCAAGATTGGACAACCTCCGCCAACACGCCCAGACCGTGCACATCAACGAGGATATTCCCATCGACTCATTAGCCGCCACCGGCTCCAGGTACCAGCGACAAATTCGCACAGACCGAGTACGACCGAATGGCAGAGCAAGAGCAACCACCACCGGCACGGTCGGTGGTCCGGTTCGTGGTCACTCGAAGAGTCTGTCGACATCTAGCATCGCAAGCATTGGTTCTGTTGGATCCGTATTCGGCGCTCGAGGAGAAGACTTGCGGCGAAGGCCACCACCTCTTGTAATGGCCGACCATAGGGTAATGGCCGATCACAGGCCTAGGTTATCCATGGAGTCGTACGGCAGCACCGGTGACAGCTCCTATACTTCCTACCGACACCCCTCTCCTGGCGATTTTAGTACACCCACTTCGGCAACCTTTTCCACGAACCAAAGTAGCCCCAGGTGGTCTACGATGGCCTCTCCTACGTCATCGCACTCCCGGTCGCAGAGTATGTACGCCGATACCAGGATACCTGGCGGTCGTCGTCTTAGCGTTCCTTCGGGTGTCAGTCCATTCCACGCTCAGCCCGGTGCCGTTCCTGGTCGGCCGATAATGGTGCCTGCTGGAATGACCCATCCAAACCAAGGGCCTTATTCTCCAGTTGGACATAATCTTGTCACCCCTCCGTCGTCAGGCTTTTCTAGCAGGAGGGATTCCTTCTCTACTGCCGTCTCAACGACTGATGAGGCGTGGCGCAGGCGAACCTGGCATCCAGACTCTCGTAACTTCGCTGCCCCTACAAGTACGCTGAACAGTGTTGCGAACTCTGACAACATCCACCTCAACCCACCTGCTCCCCTCGCTGATACTCCGCCAAACCGCAATTCTAACATTCGCCTGCCCGGTATCGAGTCGTTTGATACTGTTGCGCATCCTGTGACGCCGCCGAGGAGGCCTGGATCGCCGATGATGGTCGACGCCGACATGTCGAGCCCGCAACGCCCGATTGATGATGAAAGGAGGAATCAAACCCAGTGGGATATGGCGCTGCACCGCGGACTTCATCGCCTTGACATTTCAAAGAACAACACGCCTCCTCGTGATAGCGCCGGATCTTGGGCGAACGAGACTGAGCGTGCGGTGCAGGCTCAGGCCGAGCAGGTCAGAGCCAACCCTCCCACAGTTAGATTCCAGGTTGAGCCGGCACCTGCTGCCCCGCCTCCGCCACCTCAGACAGCGCCCAGAGGGTATCACCAGCACACACTCTCGGCACCATCCATCACCACCCCTAGGGAGTCGAAGCGGCATGGCTGGTACCACGGCCCGATGAACATCCATAGCGAAGCCCAGATGCATCCCGAGCACCATGTAGACCCACGACAGCAGAGGGTTGACCGCATGGTCCACCCTAATATTGCCGCGTTTTCGGGTTTTCCAGCACGCGAACCGGCCCCACCACCACCTAATCCCCAGCAATCCGGGCCGGCCAGCCCAGACTCGCTCAGGAGACTGGAAGCACTGGTTGCAGTTGCGACTAGCGAGGGCAAGACTGCTGCCGCCTATTAAACGGCCATGAAGTGCCTGAATGATTTCTGACAATTCAACTCAAACCTTTGGAAATTTGATATTGAAGCGCCTTATTTCCTTTAATGATTGGCCCGAGTGCCTTTTGTTTTTCCTTTTCCTCGAATCGAGTCCAAGCTACGTTCGGCTTTTCTTTGTCTAGCTTTCGGGGTTTCTGGTTTAGAGTTTCATGAGAACACAATCGCTACAAAGCTCAGATGATCATATAACGCTCACTCAATTGTTATACCCATAGGAGAACGGGGAATGGACGGCATCATTTTCTTTCTTTTTTTTTTTTTTTTTCCTTTTTATATGGGGGCAGTCTGGGGGATTTCATTGCATTATTTCCTCTTTTTTTTCTTCTCATGAGCAACACCCTACACAAGAACGGAGTTTCTCTTCAGAGAACGGTACACCCCATATATTTCCCTCAACTCTCTCTCGCTCTTACTCGACTCGCTGTCGAACTCATCCTGGGCTTGCTTTTTCTCCGGAGCCTCGTTATTTCTTAGCTGCTTAGTGTTTCGTGCAATTTGCATGCGATGAGCTCCGAGCGGAATAGAGGTGGAGCTTCATTGTTTCGCAGGCGGCCTCAAGCGTTTCTGATACTGTTGGTGTCGTTCGTCTACGTTGGGAGTTAAGTCTCTATTCGTTTTGTGTTTTTATGCGTCACGTTTTATGTGGTTCATGGGATGGGAAACTCGGACTAGGGACACTCTTTTCTTTTTGGTTTGGAGTATATCAGGCTCAACAGGACACTTGCAACGGAACAAACGCCTCTCAGTCAGCCGAGAGGCTTTCGGGGTTGGGATCTTTTTTTTTTTTTTTCTGATGAGCTAGGATTTCCTTATTGCTTTCTTCTTCCACTTTCCTTTCTTATTTCTTTATCTGCTTTTATTCCTCGTCCTTTGTGGGGTCTTCCTCCCCTGCTGGACTTAGAGCGTGCCTCAAGACCGATGGGAAGAGAAGGATGAAAGACGTCTGGAGTGCGAGGTTTACGAGTAGCTAGTTTCCCTTATCTGTTTTATGTTTTCCGCTTCAGTATGAGCTTATGATATAATGAGATACCCTCTTCTATCTCCCTAAGATGGTCTTGTGTGTGGAGCGAAGAGACCTCTATTATAGTCTTACGAATGTGGGCAGTACTTCGAGGAACACTTTCCAGAGTAGGAGTCGTAAGCGATAAGTGATCAGCAACGGGATCCTCCCAAAAATACCAATACCCTACCCATTCGGGACAGGTCGCTATATTGCAATCTCCTTAGTTTTACTTCGTACTTACCTAGTAAACACGTCACCTGGGCGGGGGCACCCGGCTTGAAAATGGCCGGGGTCCAGGATGCAACAGATCTCCATCGCTTATTGAAGGCGGTGGAGACTGATCTACTTTTCATACTGCGGTCGATCGGAGAAAATGGAAGTTGGCGATTTATCGGCCATTTCACCAGACTCAGGTGTGGTACCTGCAGAGCCAGGTACATCGACCCAGGAACGCAGGAACCATCGGACACTCAATGTCAGACTTGAGGAAACAGTGTGAGTTTCGGCGAGCAACGAAGCTTGTGGGGAAGTGGCGGGCTTCGGCTATTTATCGGCTGATCCCAGCAAGTCGAAGTCTTCCGCGTGTTGATGTTCTCTGGTTCCTGCCTTCGCAATTGTTTGCGCTCCGATTTTGATTGAAAAAAGGCTGGGATCTTGTTGTCGCGTGTGTTTATTCGGCCATTTTCAGTCAAAGAATCCTACCCCGAAGCCCCATCCGATCCATATACCAAGATTGTCGTACTCGTGAAGCAAAATTGGCGTTAGTGCCCCCTGCTCCCCTTGTTTCCCGGGCCGTCGCCGCGCCGCTTCGTGTCGCAATGTCAGCCAACCCCGACGATGGAAACGCGACCGAGGTGCGCGAGACCATCGAAGCGAAACCGCCGACGACAGCCACAACAACCTCCGAAGATGTCGAGATGAAGGATCGCGAGGAGGATGACGGTGAGGCCGATGCCGAAGGAGAAGAGGATGACGATGTTGATGCCGAGGGCGAGGAGGATGACACGAATCGCGATAGTACACAACCTGGCAAAGGGTCCAGGGAGTTGCTGCAGACGATTCAAGACCTCTCGACGTTCTTGTGCACTTATAAAGATGAGTAAGTTTGACATTGGTGTAATTGTTTTTTTTTTTTCCCCTCTTTCGCGCTATTGCAATGGCATGGCTAACTGCGGGTGGGTTTCCAGGGGCGAGGAGGATGAATTGGCCATGGGCTTCCAGCGCATCCCGAACCGGCGAACGCTTCCCCACTACTTTGACATCATCTCGAATCCGATAGCTTTTAGCACAATTAGGGTACGTAGTTCGTCCAGCGCGAGAATACATCAGGGAGAGTAATTTAGTTTTCTCTCCAATTGGTTGCGCTGTAGAAAATACTGACATGGTTTTTTTCCTGTCCTGTTGCAGCAAAAAACTATTCGCAAACAATACACAGCCTTCTCCGAGTTCGTGCGCGACGTCGCGCAGATTTGCCACAATGCGCAGGTCTTCAATCGGCCGTCTGCTGGAATTTTCGGCGCCGCGGTGAGGTTGCGAGAGGTATTCCAGGAAGAGCTCCACAAATTGGTGGAGAAGGGTGTCATCACCCAGGCCGAAGCCGAGCTGCCTGACTTGGGGGAAATTCCTTCGGCCGACGAGTCCCCGCCGCCCGAGGAGGAGGAGGAAGAAGAAGAGGAAGATGAAGACGAGGAGGATGACGATGACGATGACGATGAGGGCGGTCGTCGCCGTGGAGGACGAAGGCGACAGTCGAGACGACAGGGATCTGCCGGCGAGGGTAAGAAACGACGTGGACGACCGCCTCGAGTTCTGACTCCGATGGAGGCTCGGATCCAGTCGGTTATCAAGGGCCTGCGGAAACCAAGGGATGAGGACGGAGAGCTATTGATTCTCCCGTTCGAAAAGCTGCCAGATCGACAGGCGCTGCCAGACTATTACGAAGTCATCGCTCATCCCATGGCCCTGGATAACATTAAGAAGAAGGCTAAGCGTAAGAAGTACCGCGATGTCGACCACTTACTGAACGACATCAATTTGATGTTTGAAAATGCCAAGCTCTATAATGAGGATGGAAGTCCGCTATTCGAGGCGGCCGTGGAGTTGCAGAAGTTCGCACGGGAGCTCGTGGTGCAGGAAAAAGAGAAGCCCGATGACAGCTTCCGAGACGACGAAGGCAAACGACCCTTGACCGAAATTCAGTTCAGAGGTGAAACCTGGAGAGTCGGCGACTGGGTGCATATCCGGAACCCAAATGACCCGAGAAAGCCCATTGTGGCTCAAGTCTACCGAACGTGGCAGGATCCTTCGGGTCAGAGTTGGATCAATGCCTGTTGGTACTACCGACCTGAGCAGACCGTCCATCGTGTGGAGAAGCATTTCTACGAGCACGAAGTCGTCAAAACCGGTCAGTATCGCGATCATCGCGCCGAGGAAATTGTCGATCGCTGCTTCGTCATGTTTGTGACTCGGTTCCCCAAGGGACGACCGCAAGGTTTCCCCCCGGGCAAAGCGATCTATGTCTGCGAGTCGCGATATAACGAGGAGCGATACACGTTCAACAAGATCAAAACGTGGGCGAGCTGCTTGCCCGACGAGGTCCGAGAAAAGGACTATGTAATGGATCTCTATCCAGTCCCGTTGAAGATGAGGAAAGTTCCGAGCCCGATCAAGCATCTGCTGCGTCACGATGCCAGGCCGACAGACGACTTGCCCAAGCCCACTTGGGGCAATCCTAATGCGCCTCCAATTGTCGGCGCAGTGCACTGTCGGCCACGCGAGGCGAATGTGAGTATCTCTGTTGCGTCTTTTCAAACCTTTTTTTTTTCTTTTTTTCCCCTTTTTCTTCCTTTTTGGATTATTTTACCCTTTGCATTTTTTTCGATGTTCTGGTTCATTCTGCCGCTGGCGCTGGCGCTTCTTGTCCTTGAACCGTTTCTTCCTCGTTGCGCCCGATGTTGTCTGGTTGCTTCTCTAGTTTCGATCCCTTCCTCCCTTGTTTCTCACACCGGCACTTTGTCGGGTATTTTTTGCTGTCTTGGTGATTATTTTTTAAGATTTGTTGTGATATCCCTTCATTCAATTTCTTTCTAGCTCTCACAGGGGAGTGAGATATATTTTCACTTCACAAGCAATTTTTGGGGACAAAACATTCGAATCACCCAATAGCAGGGTATCGAAAACTCTTTGAATCGAGTTCTAACGAGTCTTGTTTCTATTACAGGAGTCTCCACCACCCGAACCATCGCCTCCACCTACGCCAGCACCAGCCATTGCGGCGGTGCGAAGCAACTCTATCCCGAGGCCGTCGCCTCACCAAATCGGGCGAGGCATTCCACCTGTGGTAGGACACAACCATCATCCACCCCCTCCAGGCTACCACCACCCTATGGGAGCTGCGCCAATTCCTGCTCAGTCTCCAATTCATCACTATACACCTGGACATTTCCAACCATCTACACCACTTCCTGCCACTCCGTCCCCCGTCTTGAGGCATAATCAAGTCGCAAGCCCCGTCTCCTTCCAATATCAGCAGCAACAACCACCGCCCGTAGCGATCCGACCTTTGCACCCCGGCCAACACCCGCCGCCGCCGCCGCCGCAAGGTTACCACCCGGGCTATCATCAACCCTACGCCGGTACTCCTATCCAACACCACCCTCCACCAATGCAGACTCCAGTCGTACCAGCGTACGAGGCTCACCGCGCGCCCATGCCCGCGCAGCCCAGAGCGCCAATGGTACCCGCCACCGTACCCGCGCCCGCAGCCCAGGTCCCTGCTCCTGCCGGTACCACCACCCGTCCCCGAGAGGTTTTCACCCTCGCCGACGAACAGAACGCCGCCGTCCCTGAAGACATCCGCGATCTTTACCGCAAAGATGAGCAGGGACGTGTCCTGTTCTGGACCGCCCCTCCAGTCATCAGGGAGAACGGTGCGCTGACCGCCAAGAGCGCCGCCTTGGGCCACAGTGTCCGCTACCTTTCCGACCTCGACGAATGGAAGAAGGAAAGGGAAGCCAAGCGCAAGGCGCGAGACGAGAAGCGCGCCGAGGAGGCTAAGAAGCGCAAGGCGGAGGAGGAGGCTGCTGCCGCCGAGGCCAAGGAGAAGGCTCTAGACCAGGCCGCTGATGTGCTCGCTGGTTACTTCAAGGCTCATGAGGAGACTACGAAGAAGCTTCGTGAGGAGCAAGGCCTCGATAAGTGGGATGAGGTTATGCGCGAGGTTCACGCTAAATGAGTCTTTTTAGGGAAGGGGAGAACTAGGAGGAGGATTTGACAGAGAAGGGGTGGGGGGTTTCTACTATGGATTTGTTTCATTGGGTTTGATAGGCATGTCAACGACAAGACCTAATCTCGAGGTGAATTGGACCTTGATTTATTTTCCAGGCAAGTTGCCCGGCGTGGCTAGGCTGGACGAGTAATTGTATTCTTAGGGCATTTGTATGCGAAAAGGGTAAGGGAAGCGGATCGTTCTATTATTCAATACAAACTTGGAGTTTGAAGCACTTTAGTTTTTACACAAAAGCATGGTCTGGATTTAGTGCCAACTTGACCAGATCCTCTCTTCATGCCCACTATCAAAAGAGTGCTGCTTAACCTGGGGAATACATCTGATTGTAGTCTTTTCAGCCCCAGGCATCAGTATTTAACATAAAAGAAATTAATTTCAGTGCTTAGAGTAAACTGACTTCTGTTGGAAGGTGCGACTTAGATTCACTTCGTAATGCTCCAGTGTGAAGGTGCACCTCTCTATTTCCTTAACCCACCAAAGCACGAACTCACGTGACACCCACATCTGGGCACGCCCTGTTTGCATAATCCCACCGACCATTGGTTCACTCCGCCCTCCGCTCAATATTTCTCTCCCAAACCAACTTCCGCAAAACTACCGAGTATCTGGCGAACAGTCGACACAACCGCAACCCCCGACAATCAGCCAGAAATCAACCCGACAACAGAGCGTTTCCATCATCAAAATCGACCATGGCGGATTCGCCTCCGTCGCCTAATCAACAGGCGTATCACGCCTATGCGAGCAATGGTTTGCAGGTCCTGCAAGCCGCCACCAACGCGCACCAAGCGATTTTCCACGACGGACAGTCGCAGGAGCTCGAACAGCACCATGATCTCCAGCAGGCCGCGCAGCAAGCCGCTGCTCAGCAGCACCTGCAGCAGCATGAGCATCACGAGCATCAGCAGCAGCAAGATGACGAGCAGCATCAGAGCCAGCAGCCCGAAGACGCGAAACCTATCGTCACAACGATGCCGCAGACACCTAATCAGCAGCACTTGACTCTCCCGCCTGGCATTTCCAGCAGCCCAGCTCGAATCATCTCCGACCCAGCTGCCCTCGCCGCGGTCGCGGCTGCCGCAGGTGCTCAGGACGCGTTCGCACCGGATGCATTGACTCAGGAGGCTCTCGCGCAGGAGGCTCTTGCCGCGCGCGCTGCTGCGGCGGCGGCGGCTGCCGTCCCAATTCCGCGAGTTTCGCGAGACCCCTCGGTGAACCCCAAGTTGACGCGACTCTCACGCGCGTGCGATAATTGCTCGCAGCGAAAAGTCAAATGCGATGCGGTTCGGCCTTGCAAGCCTTGCGTCGATCTTAACCTCGAATGCACGAATAATCGCGTCGTCAAACGTCGTGGTCCCCCCAACAAGGCTGTCGAGGCTATTCGTCTCAAGAAGCGACTCTCTGAGGTTGCAGCTCAAGAAATGGGCCTTACTGGCGTCGGCGTAGGTGTGGGCGTGGGAGGACTGCAGCAGCTCGGTTACAGCGGTTCTACTCCTCACTCGGCCGCCCAGGCGCTCGTCTCAATTGCAGGAGTTAACGAAACTGGTATTCACCTCGATGGCGAGGCCATTGCGCCCAGGCCCATCTTGGAAGCCCTTGTCGACGACTTTTTCACATACATTCATCCTCTTTGCCCCTTCCCCCATCAGCCGACGTTCCAGGCTGCCTTCGTCAATCGAGATGATCGGACTGATCCCGAGTTCTTGGCGCTTCTTGCGAGCATGATTGGCGCCCTCGTCGCATCCTTCCCTCGAACCGCCCGCGCGCATCTCAAGAACCAGCAGAGTATGCATATCTTCCCGCGTGCCACCGTCATGATTGACAAGTGCCGTGACATCGCCCTCCAGGCCCGTGGCGTCAAGTGGCCTTCGAAGCAGCCAAAGACTCTCAATGACGCGGCTACCAGCTACTTCCTCGCGCTGTCCGCCTCTTATACTCTCCAGGTGAACGTCTTCCGTCTGCACATGACCGAGGCGCTCGGTCTTATCAACGAGCTGGGCTTCGAGAGGCCTAAGCATCCAAACGAAGGTCCGACTTACGGCAATGATATCAGTGCGCCCGCTCCTGATAAGCTTCCCTTCAACCACATCAAGGATCAGGTTGGCAAGAGGATTTTCTGGTGCATCTTCCTTGGAGTTCGGTAAGTTTATTGTGTTGTTCCTTGCGTCTGGTAAATGCGTGGCCAATGCTAATATTTTTTGATCTCACCACAGCTCCCTCTTCCAACTCGGCGGATCTGCCGCCAATCTCTTCATCCTCCCTCCCACGCCCGCCTTCCCGTACCCTGCGCGTCCTGCGGCCGCTGATGATAAGGACATCCAAGCGAACGAAGTCCTCCAACAGGAGCCAGGTACCACCACTCTCATGACAGGCTTCAGTCTTGCCTGTGACATCTACATGACGATGAATCCCATTGTCAGCGTCGAGATGTCCTACGGTTTTGATAGCCTTAAGTGGCCCGACCAGCGTGGGATGTTGAAAGACAGCCTCCTCGCCGCCAAGGCAACCCTGGATAATCTTCCGCCCGAGCTCCAGCTCATTTCCCCCGACCCGACGGCTGCCGGTATAACCTTATTCGATGACCAGGGGCTTGAATACGTTCCTCCCGGCAACGCCGACGCACCTCCCCTCCCCCATGATGTGCGTCAGGTGATCAAGACGCAGCCTTTCCGTCGCCGAAGTTTGCAGCTCGAGATTCAGAAGGCCAACATTTTCCTGTCGCAGCTTGCGACCCGCTCGTACTTTGTCGAGCTCTACTTTAGCCGCCGCAACGTCAATTACGACCCCGGCATTCAGCTACTCGCGACCAACGGTGAGGGCACCGAGGAAGAGAACCTCGAGATTCGCGAAGAGGAGACAGTCCGCGTTATCATGACCCAAGAACGCGATCAGATAGTCGAGGATCTTCTCGTCGTACTCGGCGCCATCTCGCAGCGCAACCTAGAGCCCAACGGCAACTCGCTCATCACCAAGATCCGCCAAGTCGCGTCGACCCTCTTGCAGAGCGCTCCCTGCCGCGAGCCGCTATCCGACCAGCACAAGGAGGCCCTCTCGTCTCTTCTCGCCGTGCTCACGCGCCTCGAGAAGACGAGCTCATCTGGCCCCGGCAACGATTCCATGACGGACAAGGACGAAGAGGAAGAGCTGAGCACCTGGGCGTCGCTGAGGGACTACCAGATGAGATTCTCGGCTCCTGATGGGTTCCCGGGGCATCTTTAGTATCAAATCCCCCCGCCTTTCTTCGACTATTATTAGTGGAGCCGATGTGTCCATGCTCTGTTGAGGAAAGTCTGACTGGTGTGGTCTCCGTTTTGATGAGGGTTGATTTCTTCTTTCCACGAGCAACGAGCTACGAGGGGCGTGCTGGTGGCGGTGTCTTCGGTTTGTACGACTAGCGCTATATTTCTATGGCCTTTGGTCTTTCGGTTCTTTTGTCGTCCATCATCCGTGGTTTGAGATGATGTACCCTGTTTTTTCTCCTCTTTCTTCTTTTACTTTTTTCTCTTCTTTTAATCCTGTTTTATAGCTGCAGGCCACCAATGTCTGCTTTAGTAGAAAACGGGAAGGGAATGGAGGTTTCGAAAAGGGGGACTTGGCTGAGGAAGGGGATTCGGATCCAGCGGCTTCTTTACGTCGCATTTGTACCACCTCTTTTTTTTCAAGGTTCCGGTCTTTAGGAGTCAGGAGTTTATAGGAAGATTCGACAGAACCCAATGTTACCCGAGAAGGGTCATTTTATTCATTTTTACCTTGATACAAGTTGTACAGTAAAAAGTGCATGCATACACATAGATGTAGATATTCAGAGAACGTCTCTATTGGCGGTCGCAAGCTATTTCGGGGCCGATCATGTTTTTCCGCAGCTAGCTCCCTTCTACTCTCAGAGCAGCCATAGCCTCTTCATACGAAGGTAGCTCACTCAACGGTGGATGTTCCGTCGTTTCCTCGGCCCCAAGATCGACGCCGGTAGCCGTAGCAGCCGTCGAGATAGGGGGCGAAGGCGGCGCAGTCTGCAGCGCATCTAGGTTAGAGAGCGACAAGCTCAGGAACTTTTGTTTATTCCTCCACACGGTCTGGCTCTCAGCAAAGCCGGCCTGGCGCTGGGGAGGCGGAGGCGGATCCGTGATTTTGGTGATGAGATAGGCGGTAGAGGCCTCTGCGATGCCGTAGACGAGGACGCCGACGAGGGGCACACGGATAAGAACGTTAAAGGCAAGCGCGAAGCCGAAGAGGAGTCCTGCGCGGGCGTGGAACCACGCGCGCTTCTGCGCCGGGGTGAAGCGGATGCGAGCGAAGTAAGGCTCGAGAAGCTCGCGCATAAGACTGCGGGCAGAGTAGTACGTTTGCAGGAAGACAACGAGCCAGGCTCGAGGCAGGAAGAGTCCCGCGGCGAAGATAGCGGACGCAGGCCCGAGACCGACGGCTTTACGGAAGGTGTAGAAGGAGGCGGCGGGGAGGACGAAGCGGCCGATGAGGGGCACAAAGGAGAGGGCGTAGACGGTTAGGGAGATGGCGGCGCGTTTGGCGAAGCGGGCGAGGAAGGTCGTGATGCGGTCGGTGAGAGCGGTGGTGTGGGTTGCAGAGTCGGTGAGGCGATAGAGTTTGAGGTTGGGGTAGTAGAGGGGGCGGAGGGTGGTGGGGCGTTCGGTTTTGTGTTTTTGGACGTAGGTTGTGTCGACCCAGCGGAGGGAGTCCATGAATCTGGCATCGTCAGTGGTAAGTATGGGACGGGGCAGGGAAAGGGGCCGGGTATCACTGGGGGAATACCACTTACAGATTGTCCAAGGTCGGACTGACGTAGCGCATGAGCACCATCAGGAATAAAGGGATTTGCAGGACATATTCAGCTATGAAATCAAGCCCATTAAGAATGGTGTCGTCCCAGGTGGCATTCTCCATGGAGATGAAGAAGGAGAGGGTCCATAGTAGCACCCTGACAAGGAAAATCTAACGGCGGGAGCGCATTAGTAGAGAACCTCTGGCGAGTTCGTAGCAGCAACACGGCGGGAGTAAACAAGCTATGGAAACCTACGGGAATGGCTATCACGAGACGGATGACTAGACCAGCAACCACCGCATAAGCAGCTTGCTTGTAGTGTTTATTCGTAAATATGGCCGGGTTCTGGAGAGCTCGGTTTGCTATGTTAATGTCAGTCACATGGCCATTGTGGATGGTTTCAATGAGTGACCTCGGCGCATACCTCCGACGAAAGTGAGCTGGATTCCGCGTATGATGGCATTGAGGTCAAAGTTGGAAATGTCGAATTGGCTCTTGAGAGTCTCGAAATCGAGGGGTTCGTGTGCTAGTTCATGCTGTCTGTCTTGTCCTTGGCTCGGGCCCTCTGCTTGAGGTCGGCCTCGGCGAGTGGCCATGGCTAGTTCGCAAGCGAAGCTCGGGACCTGAGTGAGCGACGAGCTTGTCTTGTCGGTCGATATTGAAAACTCCCAAAGGACAGCCGTGGGAGATGGGAGTGAAATGGTGTGCCTTTGCCCTCGCAGTATTGTAGAAGGGACAGAAAAGAAGGAAAGGAAAGCGCGGGAGCTTCAATCAAGATCTCGAGAATTGGTTATCCTGAGTGGGACAGTTTTACAGCTGACGCAGCCTCGAAAGACGTCAAAGGATCCAGGCCAAGCAAAAGAGGCCGAATAAGACACAGCAAAAGTGATGACGAAATCAAAACGAGTCCAGGTGCTGATTTGGTGGGGTCAGTTTCAACGCAACGTCGAACAGCTGAAGTGCCTTGCCCAAAGCGGAACTCAGCTTTGGTCCCATTGAAAGTGCTGCCTGGAACACGACGCAAGCAGAGGTTAGTTATGGTCAAACTATTTGAGAACATTAAACACTGAACATCGAGGATCAATCAGCTCAATGTTGCATGCTCCACGAAGTACACAGGTGCGTTAGTCTCTTCAACGGTCAGTACAGACTACCACTACAGCCAGGCTTTAGAGAGCACGAGCTTTTACCAGAAGCTTTGAGTGGAAGCTTTTAGTGGAAACTTTTAGTGGGGAGCTCTCCGATGTAGTTAACATCAATCATTGATCAATATCAGGGAAGGACTCGATACAATTGTAATTAATACCTCAAGCCAAGGATCTATAGAGTGCGCGATAAGGGATCAAATACGACGGCGGAGCTGAAGTCGAAGCCTCGACCTGAGTTGACGCGAACTGCTGACAAACAGTTTGAACTGGGCCAAGATCAATCGACGAACTGGTGGAGGGCCGATCAAGCATCACGGATCATGGTGATCCAATTAATAAACTGATAGACTTAATAGTGATTAAGCGGATCACAGATGTTCAATCAAAACTTCAATCTATCTATCTATATCAAATGGATGTCCTCTGTAGAAACTTGCGGAAACGGCGCACCGTTTAAACAGACAATCAAGAATTACTGAATGTACTTCGTGCCATCATTTACGAAATTGATAGATTTACTATCAATTTCGGGGTGTTGCGTCTTTGAGATTACCTCGGGTCATCCCTTTCGGAGGCCACGATCAATTCCAAGTTTCCAACCACCCAACAGGATTGAAAATCACCCAGTTCTGCAAATCAAGTCTCGATCGATCGAGCAAGCAAGCCGGAAAAAGACTTGAGTCAATCAAGGAGAATCGACCATCGCAGAAACACAGCCAAACTGTCTTGAAACGGGAGTGCAGCATCTCGTAACTCTAGCATCGACTCATCTGTCGACGTTGGTTTGCGCCTGCCACACAAAACTCCGGCGTCCTTGGAATCCATCGTGCCATTTTTGGCTCCGCTTTAGCTCCTGGTCGCGTGGTTTGGTTCCAACGTTCCTTCCCCTTCCGCGTTTTGCTGGTACGTGCGTCTGCGTCGGCAAATTTCTCCAGGAAGTTGCGAGCAGCAACAATGAACAAATGAACATATGGACCAACCAGCATCGAGCTGGGCCTCAATGTTGCTTGCTGCACTTGCCTTCGACATCCACTCTCCTCTAGAGTCTAGAATTTACACTTCAGTGGCTACTTCCTTCGTACACATACACCACAACAGTACCAGAGTACTCTGCAGGAGTGTAGGAGTGCAGGAGTACCTGAGTACCAGAGCTGTTCTTGATCCACTGAAAACATTCACCTTCTTCCAACCATTGCCTCCACTTCTCCCACGTCCAGTCCTAAAACTGGATTATCGACCGAGCTGCATTCGACGTTCGATATTCGAAATAAACTCTGTCACCATCCTACCCCTAAGACTCCCACCAAGGCTTCACATTGGCTCCACCCTCAACTACGCGCCGTCGATAGCTTCCCTCATTTAACTCACAGTCCACCTGCTGCCGCTCAGACTCTAAACTACAAATAATTCCTGCTCCTCGACATTGATCCATCTCGTCCTTTCCGATCCGGCGATAGAGCGGAAAAAAGAACGTATCATTTCCTTCCAGCGCTTACCCCGAACAGGACCAAGTCTGTATTTCTCCTCCCATCCATCCGCCCTGACAACGGCCGCTCCCACCGACGACGCCCCTCCTCTCCATTGTTGATGCAATGGTGGGTTGAGTTCCTATCAGGATGGTTCCGTCTTCCTGTATCAACACCGCTTCTCTCGCGATCACGATAAACTAAACAAACCATCGCTCGAATAAAGAGAAGGAAAAAAAAATCTGGTGCCACACCGCCTTCTGGCGGCGGGACATACTCTCAATGGAGTCCTCCACCGCACAGTTTGCTTCTCCACGCCGTGTCTTCACGGCACCTCTCCCCTCTACACGACCATCCTCATCCTCATCGTCCACCTCATCAACAGGCCCATCCGGAAGTGTTGAGACTCTCTACAATCACCCCAACGCCAAGATCATTGCTTTTACAGCCACCGCTCGTACCGTGCCGAGAAGTCCGACGAAGAACGGCGGCTCGCCCACAGATGAGGACCAAGGAACGCTCTCATGGTCTTCACAGTTGGAGAGGACGATAGCAGTCGGTAGGTTGACGCGTGACTCGATTTTTTTTAAAACCGATTTTATCACCCCAACACCAGGTAAATATTTTTCGTCGATCTAGTGTTGCTAACCCTGGTTCTTTTCTTGCTCAGGAACCTTCCGAATATACCGTGCGCCTGGATCCGTTGCGTTTCTCAACTGTGGCTCTGCTTTGCAACCCATACTACCTAAAAGCCAATGCTGGTGTATTGAAGAAGACTCGAGCAAATTCGTACTCCAGATCCGAAAACCCCAGTACTGGCGAATCGAACTTCCTGTCACGGATATCGAAGATAGGGAACGGGCCTTTTTACTGCGAGATATTTTTGATCAGATCCTGCTCTTTGAGAAAACGCGGTGCCCTTTCAAACGCTCGTTTACGGTGCAGCTACCCGAGCCTCCTCAGACTCCGATTAAAAAGAAGCCATGGACGCCGGCTAGGAGGTCTTTTGTGCCAATCCGAGCACCCGAGTCGCCTGAGACGCCACCAACGCCCATAGTCGTCAGGTCGTTGACGAGACCAGCATTCTACGAGCCTAAGCCGACAACTTCCTCGACACCACCGCAGATGCAGACGCCGACGAAAAGTTCGAGGTTAAAAGACGTAGACTCAGCCACAGAAAGCAAGCCTCCTACAATCCCTGAGATTGCGGACGTGAGGCCGGAAACAACCGGAGAACAAACAGAGCCATCGGCGAATGGTCGGGAAGTGAGGTATGCTGGAGGACCTGATCAAGACCTAGACCAGCCCGGGGAAGCGAGTCAATCGGACGCGCCTGGGACCACTCCCGAGACAGAGAGAGAAGCTGAACCAGCCCCCGGACCACTTAAGGAAACAACTCAGGTCGAGACACCAGTCAAGGTGAAACAAGTAGTCTCAGTTATCGAGGAACGTATCGCCGAGGAACCGGTACCGCCTAGATTTGAAATCAACAATGTTACGACGCCGGAACCGAAGCCAGAAGAGCCGCGGTGGCGGCAACCCAGCACGCCAACGCCACACGCGAAAACAAACTTTGTTCATACAACGTCAGCAGCGGATCTTCGGACAACCACCATAAAGATGGGGGCATTAACACCAACTACCCCCGTCACAGCTATCCCCAGGTTCGAATCGAGGGCCATCGAACCCGTTTCATCCTACGGATCATACGGATTTTCAACTTCGTCATGTACGCTAGGGTCAAATGCAGAAGAAGCCGAAGATGTCGAGGAAGAAGTTGCGACTTATGCGGACATCACTATACGCGAAGAAGAGGCCGAGAGTACAACCGAAGTAGAGCCAACCGCCGCCCATGAAGTCGCGTTTGATGAAGTCCACGAAGGTTCCGGCCAAGGCAGCAACATCCTAATGAAACGGAAGCTAAGGCGATACGGCGGCTTCTCTTCTTCTCGGTCCACGATGACCCCACCACACCTCACCTTGATCACTTCTTCATCTTCTAGATCCGTACAAAAGACGACGGAGACAGTAGCAGATACCCAACAGCCCGAACCATGCCAGGACCCGTCAGAAACGTCGGGGACTGTATCGCCGACGGAATCGGCAGACTCCTTTCATAGCGTGCGGGCGTGGCAGTCTCCCATATCTCCGCCGGTCATATCACTTCCCGACACGGAGCATAGCGAACCGCAAATGTTCCCTTACCCACACGACAACATTGTCATGCCTAATCAAGTAACCCACCAGAGAGATGTCTCGGATTCAACGGTGACACCAGACACACGGTACACGTGGGACGCCATGTCGACGACTTCATCCAGCGCAACATCACAGCTAAGTGCGATAACGGCACCGGATACGTACCTAGATACTATCGAAGAATGCGGCAAGTCGAACGTGTCAGAGGATGGGGCATGCTTCACGACGGCGAGGAAAAAGGACAGGTCGGCACTTCGGCACCGATCAACGGCTAGCATATCGACGAATAGGGTACTGTCGCCACTCCCGGCGGCAGCAGCCTTGTTCTCACCGCCCCAGTCGATAGGACTGGCCATGGTCGGCCCAACGCGACAACAACAGCAGCACCAGCAGAAGAGCAGCCGTTCCGGCACGCGCATCGACGTACTCCGCCGGATGCCGCTTGCCATCGTGGCGAAGACGTGCGACGTGCTCCTCGGGCCGCCGGCGTATCTCGTCACGCTAATGCTCAAGGTGGCATCGAAGATCGCCGCGGGCGAGTGGCGCGGGATGGTCTTCGGGTTCGGCGAGCGCGGCGAGAAGATCCCGGTGCAGTGGGACTACTCCGACGGCGACGGCGATCTGGACTGGGACAGCGATGAGGACGCCGACTTTGCCCCGCCGCCGTCGGCAGGGGAGGAAGAGGAACAAACGCGAGAGGTGGGAAGCAGTGAGGATGATGATGATGACAACAGGAAGGATGGGCGGAATACCAGCGACGAGGACGACACGGGCCGGACGTGGGGAGTTGATTAGGAAAGTTGATGGCTTACGTATAGGATGCGGCCAGAAGGTCGCTGAGAATGTGTACTACTATTGTAAAAAGGAAGACGGGCGGGCAAGTGCTCTCCGTCTTATTGTCATGTTTCAAATGTTTTTTCCACTTCTTTTTTTTTCCTTCTTCACCATGCGTGTTTTGGACAAAGGCAGTTTTGTTTTATAATGTACAGGACAACACGAATTAAGACGCCATCATGAATCAAATCGAATATTATTTCAAAGTTATGCACGCCACAGGACTTGACCGGACTTGGTAATATTTTGGTGAATGCAAGACGTTTAGCTTTGGGGCAGGGAAAGGAGTAAGACGGGGCGGGTGGGCGGCACATATGTCCGAAGAAGACGTTGGTGTCCAGCACAGGCAAGGCAGACTCCATTAATACTCGGAAATAATGTTGTGCACGAGACATCAAAAGAGTTGGAGTGTTTCTCCAGGGGACAGACGCGAAATCAAAGTGTGGCTCAGCGCATTGAATCTCGCATTGCTCGTACAAAATTCACGGGCTAACACTGCTCCTCATATTACACCCTTCCTAATCTTCACTCAGAGGATGATTGTGTGATTGGCGAAGCGAAGGGGTCCAATGCTAAGGTGAAGAAATATGCCCAGAAAGGGAAAAGAGCCCAGCCCTATGCTCTTGGTGCCATTGCTATGCCATGTCGCCAAGGCGTTTTGGTCGGTTAAGTCGCGATACGGGGAATGCGAAGGATGGATGTAACGCTACAGTCTCGGGCTAACATATTCAAGCTAAATTTACATAGAGATATGTTAGGGAGAGACTGGCAAGTTCACGGCTCTCTTCGTCTCATCCCATCTGTCGGGTTCATCTGATCGACCGTATCCCCCAGAAAACGATGCGATTGGCCAGTTCCTTCCTTTGACGTCCCAGTCCATCCCACACCTTAAAATGAGGCCTTGGCTTTGTGGGACGTCGATGCAGGCCCGATTTGGTGCGTTGGCCCGCTGTGAGGAGGGGGTTGTTTCGGGCAGGCCTTATTCGAAGGCAGGAAGTGAACTGAGAGATGGGGAGATATATAAGAAGTCTTGGTTCCCCCCTCGTGAGTCGGGAGATGGAAAAGAGATTCAATTCAGATGTAACGGATTCTAGCGGACGAATGCAATAATAAAAGTCGATTGTTCTCAGACTCTTTTGAATCGTCACCAAGAAGAGCCCAGCGGCGCATCCCAACAACACTTGCTCGGAACTGAAACTACAAACAACAGCATCTGGAGATACTATCAACGATCTAACATGGCCAACGGTGAATGGGGTACGCCTCGAAAACAATCTTTACCCCAGAAATGATCGCCCCGAGAAGTCTTGACATCGTCGACTAACACGGCATTTCCTGTTTATTAGTGCCGGGGAGCTACTACTTCTATGCCCCGAACAAGGGCGCTCCCATCTTCTTTGTGATTGCCTTTTTATCGACGGGCCTGTTCCACTTGTACCAGAACGTGTAAGTGACTATCAATATGACCCCATGATCTCATCGCACTCCGAAGCCACTTTGGTTCCTTCTTTGCGACTTCTCCTCAGGACACCGAGGCGAAGCATCAATTGCGTCCGCGATCTATTCCTATCTAGTTTATATTCTCACAGTTACCCAGAAAGTACAAGTCTCTTATCCGGACGAGCTTCTTCCCCTTCTGCTCCCTTCTCTTCGTTGCCGGCTTCGCCCTGAGGATATACGGATCTCACCACTATGACAACCTCGACGTCTTCATCGCGAGTATCTGCCTCACCTACGCGGCCCCGTAAGTTCTCAACGCCGTCTTCCTATGAAACCTACCGAGCTAACCAAATCCCCTCGACCTATCTTATAGTCCTCTGCTCGAGCTCCAAAACTACAACATCCTCGGTCGCATCCTCTACTACGTCCCCTACCACTCCCCGATCCACCCCGGCCGCGTCCTCTCCACCTTCGCCATCATCTCCGCCATAGTCGAGACCCTCAACGGCTGGGGCGCCTCCCTAACTGCCAACCAATCCCTCGACGACGACTCCCTGGCCGCCGGCCACGGCCTCATCAAGACCGCTCTGCTTCTCCAGCTCGTCGTGGCCGCCGCCTTCCTCGCACTGGCTTTCACCTTCCACCATCGGTGCTATATCCATAAGATCCGGAATCCGCGTGTTCAGCAGCCCCTTTACACTCTATACGCTAGCACAGCCCTCATCGTCGTGCGTACCATTTACCGCGTCGTCGAGTACTTTGACCTCGCGTCGCTCAGGTTCAGTGATCCGGACTTCGACCCTAAGAGCATGACGCCGCTCGTGAGGTACGAGTGGTTCTTTTACGTGTTCGAGGCTGCGTTGATGTTGATCAATCTCGTTATGATGAACGTGAGGCACCCGAGGAAGTGGCTTCCTGAGGATAGCAATACCTACTTGGCCGTCGATGGCTCAACGGAGAAGTTAGGTCCCGGTTGGAAGGATCCTAGGCCGTTTTGGCAGACGGTGGTTGATCCGTTTGATGTGACTGGGATGGTGAGAGGGAATAAGGTGGGTTTGCCGCCTTTTTGGTTGGAGGATGGGATCGGAGGGCCGCAGAAGGTGGAGAGTGTCTGAGGGCCTTTTTGCTCTCTTTTTTCCTGGAGGCGGATGGTGATGATGATGACCAGAGTGTTGGAGTGTGTGGTCTGTGTGTCTCGGTTTGTTTTTGTTCCCGATCTTGGATCTTGGCCTTTGGACTTACATGTTGGTTGGCTTTGTTGGATATGGCGTCTGGGATTTCCCCTTGGGTTTCCTTTGTTGAAAGGCGATGGGCCTGGCCCTCTGATTGCTCTCATATACCGCTACTAGATACCTCTGATTTCACGTTCCTTCGATTTCCTTCAACTGGTTTAATATCATTCCTCCCTTGGTATCAAAAACATAGATTTCTCTTGCTTGTCTCTCTTTCGATTGGGGAAATAGTGTTTGGTATAATATACAAAATGTGTCTATTGGACATACTCCATAAGTGATCGTTTTTTGTTCTATTGTACAGATCCCATTCGCCTAGGTTGACCGCCATTTTCTCCCCAATCTAAGTGATGCTTTTGTCTTCTCCAAGTGGCGTTGATATACACGCGGCCAGGCTCTGCTCAGCCACAACATTATCTTAAACTCCCTCCTTCTCACCAAACAAGCTCTCAAGTTTCCTAGAAAGGAAGCTCCTCAGCCTTCTCCCGCATCGAATCAAGCACCCAAGCTCTCCTCCTCTTCAGTCTCGCCACCATAATCGAATCATACTCCTGCATCGAGCTCAAAACTGCCGCAAACGGACTCCTCTGCTCCGCCTCCGCAAGCCCCTCGATCGAGTCCGCAACGGAGTTGATGATACGCAGCGTCTGGCTGTCGCCCGACATGCCCGCCCTCTCCATCTCGCGGAGCAGACGCATGACCGAGTCCGAGTCGCCGTATCGGTACCAGTAGATCGATATGAGTTCGTTGTAGAACCTCGTCGATACGCCGAGGACGTAGGACGCCATTCCCAGCTCTAGGACGCGCGGGAGGACGTTGAGGGCGAGTGGTGATGGCGTGGCGAATCCGCGGTCGAGGAGTCGGAGGCCCGTGAGTAGGTGGACCGAATATAAAGGTCCGTACTGCTCCATGCTAAGTGAGCTCTCGCGAAACTGAATAGTCCGATCCGCAGGCTCGACTTCCTTCTTATTCTTCTTATTCTTCTTCTTTTTCTTTTTTGCCTCCCCAGTTTCTTTCCTCGCCGCCTCCGGTTCCTCCTTGGCATTTCCGATCCCCAGCCGTTCAACCATGGAAAAGACTTCCTCCTCGAGGACACTCCAAAGCTCGACGTCCGTCCGACACTGCTGCATAAGACCCAACACCCGCGCTTTTTCTTCCCGATGCAGCGCCATCAGCGCAGCGCGCTCGGCAACCTTGGCCTCCTCCATCTTCCGCAAATCTTCCGACGCCTCCTCGGCCTCGACAGCGTCGGTGGAGGGCCTTTCGCCGACAAGGAATTCATCATCGATCACTTCCTCTTCTTGTAAACCCAGGGCGATCTCGGCAGCGCGGCGCAGCGCGGGAGGGTACATCATCAGGATCATTTCGCGCGTAAGGTCCTGGTCCGTCGCGGCGGGAATTTCCTTTTCTCGCCCCGGCGGCTTCCCCACGACTTCTATTCCGCTCGGCGCAAGGCCCGGGGCGGAAACGCCGCCGACTTGTTTCCTCCGCTTCGTGATGTCGCCGAAGATCTCGTCGAATACGCGCTTCTCGGCCTCGGTCATCGTGGAGGAGGGGCCGCGCATGTTCCGGGCTGCTGCGGCGTCGGCTTGGTCTGGACCGAATTCGAAGGGGATGGATTCATCGTCGGGATGCCGGCGGGCGCGGAGGCGGAGGGAGGTGTGAAGAGGTCGGTGGAGGAGGAGGGAGGTACGGGCGGCGGGGGAGAGGGAGGGGAGAACTGCGCGCTGGAGGGGACGGAGGAGGAGGAGGGTGGATGACATTTTGAGGCTCATTTTGAGCCCAGCCGGGCTTGTTGAGTTTGGGCGGGAAGGCTGGAGCTGTTAGCGATGTGAATGCTGAATTTCGATCTTGGCAGAGACTGAAGCTCAAGATGGTAGATTTTGAGCGACAAGGTACCTGCAGGTTGGCACAGCTGGCGGACAAGTGGTGACAGTGTCAAGATGGTCGCGACGCGAAATTCAATTAAAGTACGCGACTGGAACTTTAAAAAGTATCAAAGTACCTCTACTTCCTTGGATTTAATCCATCGTGAACTGAGCTGGACTTCACAATCCATTCCAGACAAACAAAGTTCATTCCTTGCTATTCCTTGCTCCTATATACACACATACACAACGAAAATACGTTTCTGGCTACTTCTCAATTTGCTTCACCTTGCGTAACTTGCTCCTCAAGCTCTTGCTTCCCTTACTGTTCACCTTTGCTTTCACCTCGCTCCTCTCTCTCTCTCCAGCTCTTCTTCACTTCATCCCATCAGCACAAAAATCGAAAGGCAAAAATGCCAGCAACAAGCGCCAAACCCCTCAGCGCCTTCGAGCGCAAACGGCGCGAAAACCGCCAAGCCAACATCGAGCTAATAAGCGAGCTCGCCGAAGTAGCAACCAACATCCTGCCGACGCCTCCCCCACCCGCCGCGCACGCCAAACACCCGCGACGAAAACGATCCCCCTCGGCGCCCGTCAAGCGCGAGCAGCCCCTCCGACGAACCCGAGCGAGCGCGCGCTTAGCGGGAATCGAGGCCGATAGCGAGGTGCAGAAGCGCAAGTTTGAAGAGGAGGCGGCGGCGGAAGCACAGAAGCAGGCTGCGAAGCGGATGCGCGTTAGTGGGGATCTTGTGTTGGGGAATATTGGGGTTGAGGGGAGGAAGTGGGATAATGATGTGCAGGGGTTGAAGGATATTTTTAGGGGTGCGCAGCCGGGGGTGAGGACGTTTACGGAGGATCAGATTAAGGAGACGACGGATGAGGTGTTGAAGAAGTTGAGGGTTAGGATGGGTGGGTTGACGCTTTATGAGAAGTGGGTGCCGAATGGTAAGTTGCGAGGGTGTTTTCCGGCTTTGATCCCGGCTTTTATGCAAGAGTGTGAATGCTAATGGCAAACCTCTCCCGTCTCTAGATATCAAGCTGGTACCCCAACGAGTCTACAGCATGGGCTTCCACCCCACCCAAGACAAACCCATCATCTTCGCCGGCGACAAAGAAGGCGCAATGGGCGTCTTCGATGCCTCCCAAGACGCCCCTGAAGACGAAGACCAAGAACCCCAAGTGTCCGCCTTCCACACCCACTCGCGCACCATCTCCTCCTTCCTCTTCTCCCCCGCCGACGCCAACTCCGTCTACTCGGCCTCCTACGACTCCTCCATCCGAAGACTCGACATCGCAAAGGGCGTCTCGGTCCAGGTCTACGCGCCAGCCGACGTGTCCGAGGACGCGCCCATCTCGGCGCTGGACATGGCCCGCTCCGATCCCAACGTTATCTACTTTTCGACCCTCGAAGGCGTCGTGGGCCGCACCGACATCCGCGAACCGGCGAAGAAGACGGACCAATGGGTCCTCTCCGAGCACAAAATCGGCGGGTTCTCGCTGCACCCTCTGCACCCACACCTCCTCGCCACCGCCTCCCTGGATCGCACCGTCAAGATCTGGGATCTGAGGAAATTCTCGGGCTCCGGCCACAAGAAGACACCCACCCTTGTGGGCGAACACGCCTCGAGGCTCTCCGTCTCCCACGCGGCCTGGAGTGCTGGCGGACATCTAGCCACGTCGTCATACGATGACACGATTAAGATCTACTCGTTCGCCGACGCCGGAAAATGGAAGCCCGGACATACCCTCACCGAAAAGGAGATGGAACCAGCCCACGTCGTACGGCATAATAACCAGACGGGCAGGTGGGTGACGATCCTCAAACCTCAGTGGCAGCAGCAGCCCAAAGACGGCGTGCCAAAATTTGTCATTGGCAATATGAACCGCTTTGTGGATGTGTTTGCTGCTGATGGGAGCCAGTTGGCGCAGCTTGGGGGCGATGGCATTACGGCCGTGCCGGCAGTTGCGCAATTTCATCCGACGATGGATTGGGTTGCAGGAGGCACGGCGAGCGGAAAGCTCTGTCTCTGGATGTGATGGGGGAACTTCTGTATTTCGTAAGGTTTGGCGTTTGAGGAAAAGTGACGGAAGAGAAGGACGGGAAAGGTGGCAGCTTGGTATCTGCGTTTATTGATTTAGCCAGGAGTTAGAGGGGCGGAATCCGTTGCTCTTATATATATCTGTTGCACTGCCTCTTGGTAGGAAGCCGAGATACTTGTAATGGAGCAGAATGGAACTGTTCGTAACCGATTCATCTCAAGTTTTGTCTCCATTGACACTGTCAACCAAAAACAGGATGTGATGCCAGCAGCAATGGACGCGGGACAACAACACCTACCCGTGTTCGCAGGCTCCAAGCATTACTCTCGGAGTCCCAGCATATATACATGGCTCTCTGTTTTGACCGAAATCTGCAGCCCTCTACAATGCCGACAATTATATCAACTTGCTCCGCCGAGGCCAGAGAAGACTGCCCCTAGATTGTCACCGACTGTATGGTATCTTGCTTTCAAGATCCTAAACACGCCCTGTCCGTTTCTTAAGAGGCTGTGGCAGTTTCCTCAATCCTTCGGTGATTTTGGCCGCTCCTGAGCCCTTCTCTCACTATACCCTCCAGGTCCGCAAGGGAGTTGCTCAACGTCCGCCACTGTCTCAGTCCAAGAAGATTCTAAGCTGCAGCACACTTCGATTTAGCAACGATCTCTCTGAACCGAAGAAGAATCACGAATGAGGACCTAAACTTGACTGTTACTTCCATCAAAGGAACCACTTGCTATGTATTACTTTATCCGTGTAGAACAAGGAAATCAAACCCTCTAATACATTCTCGTCATTACAGCCTCTAGCGCAAGGCAAAACAAAGTATCAAACGCCGTCTATCTTCCAAATCGCCACATCGAAATGCCATCTTAACCATCCATCCTCTTATGAACAGGAACAGGAAAAGACACGAAAGAGAAGAGAAAAAAAAGAATAAGAAGAAGAGTAAAGCGCAAACCAATCGGAAGCAACGCGAAAATAATGCTTGCTCGTCAACATTATATGCTCCCCTCAGGAACATGCACAGCGCCATCTACACACCTCCCCATCACAACTTGTCCCCCTCGGCCCGTTCTCCCGATCCTCGTTCCACCTAGCCCGCAAAACTCTCTAATTCTCCGGGCCAGGCCATAGGTCAGACAATCTCCTAGTAAGTACCTCGGGGTCGGGCTCGTCCCGTCCCACAAATGTCCAGCTCTCCTCTTCCCCTTCGTCATCATCGTCAAGGTCCTTTGGCTGCTCGCCTTCCTTGGGTTTTCTCTTAATCAGCGATTTGGCATATTCGAGATCGCGGTAGATGCACTGTATAGCCATCTCGACACCATTCTCCTAGGATGATATTAGTATTTCTTTTTCTCTTTTCTTCTCTCTTCAACTCTTGCGGTCATCAATGCTTACCTTTCGGATCCTTTGTCCAAGTGATCTAGCCCTGACAATCATACGCTCGTTATGCGTAGCCTCCCAGAGCGCTCTTCCAAAGGAGTTCGCTCCCCACTTCCTCAGCCAGATACCCACACCCAGATCCTCCACCCGGCTGCCAAAGAAGAACTGGTCGCCAAAGAACGGCCGAATGATGGTTGGGATACCCGCCCGGAGACTCGCACCAGTCGTGCCCGAACCGCCGTGATGCGCAGCAGCGTCTATCTGCCTAAAGAGCCAGTCGTGCGGGGCGCTCTTAATGACAAAGATTTCGGGAGGGAGCTCGGGCTCATCAGCGATGGGAGGTGGTCCGCCCTTGACAATGCGATCCGACCATCCCTTGGACAGAATACAGCGCACATCGGCAGCGAGAACGGCATCGATAACCTCTTGCGTCATCTTGGCCGGGTTCTTCACGATGATGGACCCGAAGCCAACATATACGATCTTCTTGCCGTCCTCCCTCGCCTTGGCGATAAAGTTGGCCAGATCCTGCGGCGGCGTCCAATCCTGTCCTTCGTCGAGGAACCAGTAACCCGTGACGCGGATCCAGTCGGAAAAGTCAATGGGCGGTGCAACCACGGAAGGCGAGAAGTTGTACATGAAAGGCACCTTGTTCGGTTGCATCTTCTCCAGGCTGGTGTTGGGAAGTTTGAGCATGTTCCGTCGCCATCGGTTGATCTGATAGGCGGTGGTCTTCCAGAAGACATTGTCGAACAGGACGTAGCTCGTCACGTTATACGCACCACCCATCTTACTCTCGGGCATAACGAAAGCATGTGGATATGCACGCGTACGGGTCCATGGCATCGTGAAGGCCCTGAAGTACGGGATACCAAGCGCCTCGGCAATGTGAATACCAGCCATGGCGCTAGGACTCTCGATGAGCAGGTCACTGCCCTGGCAAGCAACCCAGGCCGATGCCAGTAGCTCGTCGAGCCAGCCCCGGAACATTGAGTTGGCTTCCCGTAGGAAAGACCACGTGAACGTGCCATTCTCAATGCAAAGCCTCATCAATTCGCCAGGGTCACCCTCAACCTTGGCAAACTCGATGCCATGACTCTCGATCCAGCCCTGAAATTCCGCATGTGTCGCGATACGCGGCTTATGACCCTCTGCCAATAATCCCTTGCAGAGTGCAATATACGGCTGAACATCGCCTCTTGAGCCGATCGTCAAACAGGTAATATTAAGCGGGTTTGCAGGTTTAAAATCGAGTAGCGATGTCTTCATGTCGCCGAAGAGAATAGGGGGGCCATCCGTCGCGGCCTCGAGGGCGTTGATCGCATTAGAATTCTCGACTTCGTGCCTCTCCTCCTGCAGGGCGTCCCGCTCGGCTCTAGCAGCCTCGGCACTGGGATCCTCCGCGATGGGTAGTTGGGCTGAATCCTTCATGAACCGTGTTTTCTCCAGGGCGCGCAGGAGCGTCACCGTGCAGTCGTCTCGAATTTCGCTTCTGTTGAACTCAAAGAAGAGCTCTTCGTGCCCGCGGATCACCAATACCAGGCCCGAGTAGCCAAAAGTAAAGCCCTTCTCCTTGTTGACATTCTCAATGTCCTTCAGCGGAAGAATAAGCTTTGTCCGTGTTCCAATCAGCAGGCTCCGGAAGCAGAGATTCTGGTCGCTAATATAAATCTTTCCATACAACGGAAGGACGCGGAACAGGTGGCCAAAGTACGTCGACTGAAGCTTTTCCGTCTCGGGCAGGGCAAAGTGGGCTCTGAACCTCTCGTTGGCCGTAGCACGCTTGTTTCCGTCACTATCGTCATCATCGTCCTCATCGTCATCTGTTCGCAGCGCGTGCGGTTGCTCGTAGTGTTTCCTTCCACCCTTCCACATGCCAGATACCTTCTCAACATAGCCCATGGATTCAGACGCTAGGAGCGAGCTCATCTTCCTGCTAGTAGAATTCAGATAGTTGGCAAACGCTCCGGCGCGTTGTAGCGGGTAGGATCCCATTTTAGCGATTTGCTGTAGAGTCGGTGTGGGTGGTGTTGACTGGCCATTGGGGTCGTGGGGGATCGGGTTTGGCAGATTTCCGGTGCTGGCTGCATGTTTCGGTGCAATGGACTTGAGAGGCGGGGATTGAGGCTGTAAACCACTGGGTAATTTATCATGACGATCCTTGAGGCGAGTGCTAGAAGTGGACCTCCTTATGGTGGGGCTTTGGAACACGTCGCTCCCCTTTAGAATCTGGCTTGCCGACGGATCATCGCTCGAAGACAATACGAGGGCCGACACGCTAGGCTCATCCACGGAGTGGACATAGGACTCGGAGGAGGCGCCGTGCTTCCATGGCGACCCCCCTCTCGCATCAACCCCATCGCGACTCCGGCTTAGAGACCGCCGGGTTCCGCTGAAGTGCCTGCGAGGGATATCCTGGCTGTTCCTCGCGCAATCGATGCTGGATCTACCGAACGGCTTAAAACCATCAAAGCTAGTCCTAGACATATCGGCGCTCGCTCTAGGGCTGACAGGAGGGCTGTGGGGTGACAGAGTCGCCTTGACAATATCTCGAGGAAGGGTCGCCTGAACTACCTCGGCCGGGTCCAGAGGTGAATTTGGTCTGTGGGCAAGGACAGAGATCTTGGGCATATCCTTTTGTCGCGAGGCTGCATCGTCAACCAGAATTTTGAGCACATTAATGGCGTCCTTGCCATGGTTGAAGAAGGAAAAGTAATACTTTCGAAGGCCGTCAGCATCGAGTACAGTTTCGTCGAAAAAGAAAAGGGGGAAGGGGAGAGAGAAAGAAATTTGAATCTTACCTCGTCAAGCACAAACGTCTCGTCATTATCTAACACCCGGATTTTGCAGGTGTCCGCAAACTCCAACATGTGCATCTCTTCGATGTCGATTATGTTCTCAATGGGCAGGGAGATCTTGACGCTGTCTCCGTCATTATGCGACCGGAAGATGACTCGTTGAATCGCCTTGACCCACTCCTTGGCACTAGGAGCACTATCCGCCTTCAGGTGGTATGTCCGATGATGGGTGGTCACGGAGAAGTGGGTGCCTTCCTTTTCCTTGTCTGTGATGTTGGCGGAGATGGCGTAACGCAAGTCAATCTGGCCATTAGGGAAATAAACGTTGGTGGTGTCGGCGTAGTAGGATAAGACGTCCCCCTTGAGGCGGAACCAGTAGCGGTTGTACTTGGGATTCCTCTTGCCGCTCTTGGAGAGGTAACCGGACTTGGAGACCTCGTTCTAGGAGAATGTAAGTTTCTGAGCAACATCACTAGCAAGGTGTGTCGAGCGTTCGCGATAAATGCAGAAGAAGAAGGGGGGGGGGAACGTACGGCTTTCTTCGGAAGATATGCATAGAAGCAGACGTGCTTCGCCGTAATGTACATGAAACCTTGCAATAGGACACACTGTAGGAGCCAGCAAGGGTACTCTAAACGAAGGAGCAAGTCGAGTTAGCAAAGTGCACTGCAAGAAGAGGAGTTGGGGGTGGCTATGGATGAGTAGGAGGTGGTAGCATACCCTCGATAACCTCTTCTGGCTCGTCGAATTCAAATATCTCTTTGAGCTTCCGAGCCAACGGACTGATTCCGAGATCCGTGGAGTCACTATCTCGACTACCTTCCCCAGACAACCTCTCCAAGTCGAAGCTGGGACGAGCTGCCATCTCTGCTCTCGCTTCCAACATACGACTCATTACAGGAGCGTATCGTTTGTCGCTCTCGAGGTCGGAACCACGTGAAACACTGTCGGATGCATCACTTGGGGTCGTGTCGGTCGGGGACGTAGGAAACTTGGAATGATCCTTCTTAAGTTTAGACTTGGAGAGTCGAGGCAAGGCTGGTAAAGAACGTAAAAGCTTGTGATCGGTGATCTTTAGCCGACTCTTTTCGCTGGACTTGGGGGATTTAGCGTGGCGCCTAAATATGGTAGTGCGAGAACCAGGTGGTGGCAGGTCATTTTTGCCCTCGTTGTCGCCTTCGTCATCACTGGACTGGGGATGAAACCGGTCGGTGAAGTCGAGGCGGGAGCCGGCGGCGGCAATGAGGCCAAATATTGACTGGTTCATGTCCATGTACATGGTCGGGCCCTGACTAGCGACAGTCAAGTCCTCCTCGCCAGCATCATCAAGGCATCTTAGCCTCTCGGGCATGTTGGGGTCGTCGGAGGTGATTGACTCTTTTGGTCGGCGTTTATGGAGCTTTTTTGGTACATGCACATGCTTGGCCTTGGACTCTTCCTCCAGGTCGGAGGAGGCGTCGAAGGGCGCCATGTCTTGGTGAGGAGTCGGTGTGACCTCGCACCGAGTCAGGCAGGTAAGAAACAAAGAGGATGGTTGCAAGAGTACTCGGGCGATAACCGTGATTGAACTTCGAGGGAACGAGAAATCTCAGGATATGTTTGATGTCGAGTAATGCAAAAGAGAGAGAGAGAGGATTGAAATATGGAAGCGAGGGCTAGGGTTGTGCTCGAAGCTGGTATTGGAGGAGTCTTATGCTTATGGTCTGGGGTCGTAGGCAGGCACAGCTCGAGCCGCAGTCGGATGCGATGCGTTCATTCGTCGTGGGGAACCTGGTTGGTCCGTCGCAAGTGGAACCGGGAGACCGAGCCTCCTCTCACAGAGCACGGCCGCGGTGGCTAATGGGGCGTCGGTTTCCGCGTATCGTGCATGAAAGATTGGTATTAAGATGGACAACTCGAAGTCATCGTTGCGGGGGAGGTGTAACGTCGGCGTCGGCGATGCTTCGTACCAGTCAGATAGAGAGGGAAATGGAAGATCGGAAGATGGAGTAGGAGTTAGCTCTATGGAGCCAGGCGATATGACCAGTAGGGCTGATGGAACAAGGGAATCAAGCAAGACTGAGCAAGGTAGTGTTAAGCAAGAGGAGGTGGAGCAGCGAACGGATAGACAAAAGGTTGCCTTGCTCGAGCCCAGAATGACCAAAAAGAGCGCGTGAAAATGCAGTCTATTGATGTCTGTAAATGTGCATGTGTAGGTGAGAAAAAGGTGTAGTAAAAAATGAGCCTACGATAAAGCAGCACGTCAGCTCGTGGCTTATGGGGGGTGTCAGGATGTCTGAATTGGTGTTCCATGCGAATGCAGGAAGAGTTTGGGGGAGAGGAACAGGCAAGGGACAGGGTGGGGGAAGTCTACATTATGTTGACAGAGATTATTAGCTGTGTTGTTGAAGATCGACAGTGGCTCTCAGGGCTCTACATGGTGCACCTTTGCTAAGAACTTGAAGGTTATAGAACATCGTATGGTACAAGGAAGGCGACGAGAATTCATGGTACCTCTGCAAGGATAGTAGAGACAAGAAAGTACCTTTTAAGCTGCATGTGTAAAGTAACAATACTCAAGCGTTTCCATAAATTGGCGAATTTCAAATTTCGTTCCAGGTATAGGTACATATTCTTGGCTTTCTTGGCTGTCCGTATTGAGTTCCATTCTTTATCGATAAGAAAGGCAGGAACAATGACATTGTTCAACGCTTCATTACCGTTATACACTACGAAGTACTTGCCTCAGCGCTTCGAGCTTTTCTTCGCCCCTAAAACTTGGCATTCTGCATCAGCGAGGCAGGGAACTGCGAAGTAGACCTCGACATCGACATCGACGATGACTACTCTGTACCTCTCTCTGAACTTGTCCGCGCTGCCACGGTTTCCTCGGTACACGATGGGGGCGAATGTCGTCAAGGAACGGTGGCACCGATATTCCACACTAAGTCCCTAATTGCACACTATTGTACTCCGCAGTACTTCGTACGTTGCTACTTCAACGTTCTTCGTTGGAAAGAATTGTTCGGGACTAGTACACTGTTCTTGCCTAAATCGGCGTTATCGCTGGTGCTTCAATTTTGTCTCTCATCCCTCGCATGTGATACATGCAGCTCACCTGCCATCAACAAATTTGGAGGGATTTCTTCCTTCAAGCGATACTTCGTCCTCCAAGGTAGTCACCGGGTCCAGCTTTGAACTTGTCATGCCCTGTGCGCTTTCGGCCGGGGTCTCCCTTCCACGCCTTCTGTCGATGTCATAAATGGCGTTGCGGGTAACGACGTCCTGGGCGGATGACGCAGTTGAGGCAACATCTCGATCACCCCATGATTCGAGTGCGGCTTTTATCTTGCCTCGGGATGGAGGGCGCCATTCTCATAGTTGAGAGCAACGTCGGTTATCAATGATCCTAGTTTACAAAGAAAGCGATTGCGTTCGTCCGAGACAACTTCCAGAAAGAATGCAATGCCGATGTCTATTCATTCCTGGAATTTCCCATCCTCTATTTCACAATAGCGTACTTCTTTCGGCTCTCTCTCCCGCGGCATGTTTGAAAATTCACTCATAAATTGAATCGGACGCTGCAAGCCCTCTTGTCCGTCTATGCGTCTAAGTGAAAGGAGATCAAGTGGTTTCCGAAGAAGCAAAATGGCATATATCCGATCCCAGATACCAAGCCTTCCCATATTATCGGTCAGGCCGCAACTATCCGTTTGAACCCACGCCATAGAGAGACGCCCGCCTTGGCCCTAGGACAGGGATTACCCTCACCTTTCATACCATCGATTCTAGAATGGATCCCGGGCATTCGGAACTAGGAATCGGCGCTCCCGGGCTGCCCTTCACAGTACTGGTGTACCTGCATTCGCCAGCTAAACACGCTTAAGCATCGCGAGATTCGGCTCAGAGCAACGGCGCCGGATCCGACTGAGTACATGTAGTTGATCACTCAGACCCTTGATAGAGGACAATTTGCAAAGACATAATCCTTCCCGAAAGTTTCAGAGTTGAGGGCTTCTTTAAATTTACTCAGTCGATGTTTCCGCTGGATATCATTTACATTATTGAAGAAAAAAAAAAAAAAAAAAAAAAAAAAAAAAAAGACATTGCATCTTCGTCGTCGTAATTGCCGCATCATCGGGCTACAACAGAGCCTCTTATAGCGTTAACTTCTATTTCTCCAATACAATACAAAGGGGCAACACACAAAGTAATTGTCTAGTTGTCCAACGTTGTCCAACTATCTAATTCTCTGTACTTTTCTTTCCCCTAAAGAAAACACTCAACCCGCCCATTACTTTCCCCAGCGTTTCTCCCTCATCGCCTCCCTCCATCGCCTCCGCAATCCACCCCGGAAGCTTTCCACGTATCCTCTTCGCCGCGTACCGCCTATCCACGAGGATGATAGCAGCGTAGTCACCTCTGTGACGAATAGCTCTGCCAATACTCTGATTCACAGCCCGCATGCAGGCATTTTCATAGAAGGACCGAGCAGCATTCTTAGCTTGAGCCATCGCCTGGTCTTTAGTCATCTTTCTACCAGGTATGCTCGTGGTAGTACCCTCGGGGGCATCCGTAGTTGAAGATGAAGAGGAGGGGAGTAGACGCGACACAGTGGTGGATTCGATATATTCTATTCTCGCCTTCCACTCAGGGGAATTGATATTGGGATAAGGGAGTCCGATGATGAGGACACACCGCCCAAGGCGATCAGAGAAGTTGATGCCCTCGCTCATTTTGCCACCGACCACGCTGAGGAGTAAAGCGCCCTTTGTCTTTGCGTTGGCTGCGGGTGATAATATCGCGGTCGAGTAAGCTTCGAGAATCTCGTCGCTTGAGCAGCCCTTTGATTCACGGAATATTTCCTTCCTAGTGCCCAGTCGATCCCACACCGAGTTGGGAGCGCCGGGAGGTTTTGCTTGCCACGCCTGTACAACTTCGTCTAGGTAGCCGTAGCTGGGGAAGAAAGCGACTACCCCATCTGGAACTACAGAGCAAATGTTCAGAAGCGCGAGGCCGAGATCATTGATCATGGCCTTGTCCCCTCGGCGCTGAAAGCTGAACTCGAACGTTGGTGAGGCATCACCGGCACGAGATCGACCGAGGGTCCAAACGCAGAGATTCTCGCGGGGGATAACGTGGCCGCAGCTTAGCGTTGTGATCTTTTCGGCCGGTAGATAAGGAAATAGGTGAGCAGTGTAATCGTCAAAGGGAGACATGGTGCCGCCGGCGAGGATGACGGCGCGGGCGGAGGAGGCAATTGAGGAGAAGGCGTGAGTAGGGGAGAGGAGGAGGTAGGAGAGCTCGATGTCGCGTGGGGTGGAGTCCAGTTTTTGGTAAAATATTCGGCCTTCGAAACTAAGATTCGTGAGGGCAAGGAGGAAAGAGAGGAGGGTATGGAGGACGGGGGTGGATGATTTCGCCGCGGTTTGGTGGGTAGAATCGGGTTGTTGTTCGTCTTCGACGTAGGAGACGTAGCTCTCGATCTTGTAGGCTAGTTTCGATTCTTGGATATATTGAACGAGCTTGTACATGTTAATTTGGTCGATGGCCTTCTGTCGTAGAAGGGCATTTGCGTCCACAATGCCATGTTCGCTCTGCGCCGAAAATTAGCACACGAGTCAAGGACCTAACCGGCACAAGAGAATCCTACCTTTTGCTTCATGGCGCCATCCAGCCAGTCGCTCAACCCTTCGACAACACGGCCAACTCGGCCCACCATGACTCGATTCTCCCCTTTCAGCTTCTTGCCAAACTTTCGCACGTATACACTGAGCATCTGCCGCGCACGTTTGAGTTCGCTCAGTTTGATCGCCGCAGAGTTTACGTTCGACACAGCGTCCATGATGTTATGTGCTTCGTCTATGATGACAACATTGCCTTCGAGTTTGATGCCAAGTGCGTCTCTAGCACTCTTTTGTAAGAGGAGCGGATAAGGGAGAGTAATGATCTCGGATGCAGGGATCGCCGTTCGCGAGGCGTAATACGGGCATACCGCTAGAGACTTTCCCAAGGTATAAAGGTCCTCGATATCAGGAAGCGTAGCAAGGGCCGTGTCCCGAAACTGATGAGTTTGGGAAAGCGTTTCCTCATTGGGCAAGAACTTGCACTTCTCCTTCGTCTTGGATTGCTGCAACTCAGCGCAGCGATCATTGATGGCCGAGAGCGACCCAAGCCTCGCAACAGACGGGTTTATGCATAATTTTTGTCGCGATGACAAAGGAATATGCTTGACATGCTCTTTATCCTTGGATCCATCTGCCGTCTTAGGCGAGGATTGCATTTTTGGATAGCTGGAAGGGAAAGAAGGTCGACGGAGCTCTGATATAAACTGGCTCAGCTGAGAATGCGTCCTGGATGCGTAAAATATCTAGGTATATTCGTTACTACAATGTTCTCCTACAAGGACAATAAAGAGACGATGAGGTACTACCTTCACTTCGTCCTCGAGCTTGTCGTCAGTATCACTCTGCTTCTTCACCCCGCCAAGTCCGCCCATCCGTGCCAATATCTCTCTGGTTTCGGCACTGAGCCCAGAGAAGGGATCGCTTCCCTTCGAATCGTCACCCTCCCAGTCATCTAGGAGCCACTCGGCATCCTCGTCAATCGGTCCTTTCCGCGTGCTCAGTGATTCCTCTTCGCCAACACGCCGTCGCTTGGCACTCCGTCTCGCCTCCATAGCCTTTTCCTTCTGTCGTATCTTTTCAAGCCGTTCCTCCCTCTCCTCCCACCGCCGGGTGAGTTCCTCACTCTTTCGCTTGAGCAGCTGCTCGACCACCCAGTCGGGCTCATCGGCGAATTTGGCGCCTAGGTCCTTGAGCGCCGCTTCGTGGGACGACGCCTTGAAGTTGCGCAGCCATGTGAGGGAGGAGCAGATGAGAGAGAGGGACTTGCCGGTGCCCGTGGGACTCTCGAGAATTCCGATTTGACCATTGCCAGCTTGGAGGACTTTGTAGACCGCTTTCATGAATTGGAGCTGTACGTCGTAGGGCGTATAAGGGTGGTGGAAATTTACCGGTTCATCTTGGGAACCACCCTCGTTGGCAGTCTCGGATCTCAGTGGCAGAGACATTGTAAGATGTGGAGACGAGCGCAGTGTTCAAGTTCAAGATCTCAAGACGCGACTAATGAGAATTGAGTTCAGGAACATCTTGAACCGCGACTTGAGAGTGTCACGTGGATTTATGTGGAGGGATGAGTCAGCAATGGTAGTGTCTTCGAGCCCGCTTCCATCATGGACTTACACGAAGTCATGGACTGACATCGAGATACTCAACATGCTGAATGAGAACACCACTGATAGAAATTAAAAGGAACCACCAATGTCAAATTCAATTCAGCCGCATAAGAACTGGGAGACTCAGCCGCCGTACCGGTCAGCATTAGAAAGGGAAGACTTTGTTGCCCGCTATCATGGGACATGCCACTGTGGGCGAATCCGATACTCTCTAAGCCGCGAGCGGCCACTCGCATCCAAGTATTGCCACTGTCGTGACTGCCAAGTCCTTCATGGTAGGTAACTATGGCATATGAGAGCGTGTCAAGGTACTCAACTCAGATACCAGGCGCACCATTCCAATGGGCAGCCATCTTCCACAAGGCCGACATGGCCTTTGACAACGGAACCTCCGGTCTCGCCTTCTACAGATCGGCCACCAAGACATCGGCACACGACCTGCCCTGCAAAGTCAGCTGCAAGTTCTGCCGCACGCCAATCATGGATGAAGGGAGGAATATGGCGCTCATCTTCCCGACGCTCATCAAGTTCCGCAGCGAAGAGGAAAGGCAGCTCTTTAAGCCACGGTATGCTTCTCCCTCCTGTTGAGTAGCTGTATATCAGCCATGCCGCTGGTACAATTTTGGCTAATTGCTGGTGTTGAGCCGGAGGTGCCACATATTCTATACTCAGAGAGTGCTTGATATTCCTGACGGAGCAACAAAGTGGGCAGGAATGGATGGCCAGAGTGAAATAATCTGAGGCATCTTCAGTCTGATGATCAAAGTAGAACCCTACGAGGAGATGAGGATCCCAAGCTAGTGTCGGCTTCTACAACTAGTAGACTAGGAGAGCCACGGAGTGCGCAGACAGGACCGAATGTCGGGAGGATTTGAAGTGAATGGAAGACTCCTCCAAATCAAGGCTTCTCGTCGCAAATTCCCAATTCCAAGGAGCCCAAAAAGCCTACAGCCCAAAATGATATTACGAGCTCTCACCGGCCAAACCAAGCCAGTTAATAAGCGTGAAGCCGCCTCTTTCGAGGGCTTGTGTTCGAATTCTACCGTCTCCCAGGTTCCTTCGAAACACCGGTGGAGACAATATCGATCTAGCTGGGAGGCGCCGCCCTTCAAGGAGATGAGTAGATTAGATATGAATTTCTAAGATAGAAATCCGAAAACAATCTTTTCTCTCCCTTACCATTGAAAGCTTCTACTTGTACTGAGTAATTGATAAAATTCAAGAGGGGTATTTTATGGGAATGTGCTCTAATTTAGTATCTACTGTGAGTCTTATCTTCTTAATTGATGGCTTGCTTTGAGTTGTCTGAGTCTTGCATTCGGCGTATTTGCTTGATTGAGGACATGTCGGCTTGAACTGGGAGCCAGGACTGACTGATTGAGAGGAGGGGAGCAGTTTGGTGGGGTAAATGTTATCTGCATTCGACCATCTTGGTTAGCTCTGTCCTCTATACTCACGTGACTATTAAAGCGCACGGACCAGATACACACGCACACACTCTGGTTAGGGCTCCGATTCCCTACGCCCAGGATTTGCCAAAGTCCAGCCGAAGCGTATCACCCAAAAAAGAAAACCTCTTTTGCACACCAATCCCCACGCCAAAGTGAAAGTTCGCAACTTTTCACATCCAACAACCCCTTGACCCCCCAACCGAGCGACTATTTTTCGATAATACCGTCGCCATGCCTACCCGATTCTCGAAGACGAGGAAACAGTACGTTTGAAAACCGTTGTCCAGTTTTGGCTTCCCCCGACAAGTTGTTGTGTTGGCGCTGTTTGGGGAAGATATCGAGGGAGACAATGAAACTGACAGTCGATGCGCAGCCGGGGACATGTTTCCGCCGGAAAGGGCCGAATTGGTACGAGCGAGAACCCGTGAATTGATCGAGATGGGGATGAGGACGAAACTTCTAAACAACAATGCGTGTAGGCAAGCACAGGAAGCACCCGGGTGGTCGCGGTCTGGCTGGTGGCCAGCACCAGTGAGTATATTCCTCAAGGAATTGTGACTATGGCGAACTTTTTTTCGTTGCTGACCATTTCGTTCCTGCGCAGCCACCGAACCAACATGGATGCAAGTCTATCCTCCACCGAAAGCCTTTGGAGTGCGATACGATCGAAGTACTAACCCTTTCCCTTAGAAATACCACTATGGTTACTTTGGTAAAGTTGGTATGAGGTACTACCACAAGCAACTCGTATGTAGCCCTACTGTTCTCTCTCGCTTTGAAATTTTCAGGATCTGACTGTCTCTAGGCTCACTTCTGGCGCCCCACGATAAACATCGACAAGGTAATTTCCGCCCGATTCCACTCGAGATGACACCGCCCGAGAGAAAGATCGAGTCAAACAGAGAAACCCCGAGGATGCGCAAAAGATTATTCGGAGGATGCAATGGGTGCTAACAGTCGACTCTAGCTCTGGACCCTCGTCCCCGCCGAGACCCGTGAGGCCTACCTCGCTGGCCAGAAGAAGGACACCGCGCCCGTCCTCGATCTCCTTCCCCTCGGCTACTCCAAGGTCCTCGGCAAGGGCCGCCTCCCCGAGATCCCCATCGTCGTTCGTGCCCGCTACGTCAGCAAGCTCGCGGAGAAGAAGATTACCGAGGCCGGTGGTGTCGTTGAGTTGGTAGCGTAAATTATAACTTTGGTACTCTTGTTGCATTCTTAGGGGTGTCGGGAATCATGAAACCTTTCGGTTCGGTTGAGGGAAAACGAAAAATCTTCTTAGAGGATATTTTTGAGCACAATCTCGGACGAACTCGAAAAGGGAACAAAAAGGGAATCGGACGGTTGCTCATGTGCATTGACTCTATTATCAACGAGGAGTTTTGCGAAATACACCTGGGATTGGACGTGAACAAAGCAAAAGAAAAAAGAAAAACATTCCAAAACCAACGTCGCGCAAGAGAAGAGCACTCCGGGAGGCGGGTGGATGCTTTCTTGTTGGCCAGCTGTTTCGTGTTTGTGACTTCAATGGTATTATGATATTATGACCAGATGCAATGAACCGCTCCGCTGGACCATCAAGAGGAGGGGAGGGGGAGAGAGGTCCAGTACCTCGAGCTGCCTATCTACAGTCCCCGTCTGCCGTATGTGCTAATAATGTCCACTAGAAATACAAATCGTTGCCATATTCATATGTACTCCACCCCAATTCCCATATAGAAATTCCCATATAAACTTGGTGATACTTCAACTCCTCCCTATCATACGTGAACAATGTCCATCTCATCGTCAACGTCATCCCCAATCTCAACTGACGCATGCAGGTCACGCTCGGGCAAAAGAAGGAACTCATGGTTCAACGCTTCACTTGCGCTGATTCGCTTACTAGGATCAAGTTCCAGACAGCGGTTCAAGAACTCCACAGCAAGCTTCTCATCATCATCAAGCGGCTGTCCCTGGCCGTCCTTGCCACCGTCCGTCCGACAAGTGGACCACAAGATGATCTTTTCAAGATTGAACCCATGCAGGCCAATCGTAGGAATGGTGGTCTCCATGACGCAGCCATGCAGGAGGCCGGCCGCCTTCATCTTCTTGGAACCGAAAATCGTGGTGATTTCAATCAGGGCTTCAACATCATCGGCACTGTTGAAAAAGGGAAACCGCCTGCTGAGGATGGTCAGGAGTATGACGCCAACAGACCAGATGTCAATCTTGGTCGTCTGCTCGGTACACTTGAATAGAACCTCCGGGGCGCGGAACCCTCTCGTGCCAGCACGATTGGCACGTCTCGAAGGCCGGGTGTCAGTCTTGGGGTAGCCTTGTTGAGGGCCGGCTTGGCCAGCTACGCTCGACTCCGCGCGGCGTTTTCGGACGGTGGGGCTTTCGTGGCAGAGACATGGCCGGGATTCAGTGCCTTGCCTCTCGGCGAGACCAAAGTCGACCAAGACGCCCCTCTTCGTCGAAGGGTCGTAGAGAAAGTTGGTAGGTTTAATATCCCGATGGAGAATCTTGGCTTCATGGACAGCCTCCAACGCCGTAAAGAGGGAGCGCAGGTAAATGGCCGTGTCGACCACAGTCATCTGCCGGAAGTAGTCCCTAAAGTCTGCATGGCGAAAGTAGGGTAGGATGGCAACGACCTGGTCGGTGGATCTGAAAGCAGTGATGAGGGGGCAGACAGAAGGACAGTTGCGAAGGACATGGAGGAGCTCCAGCTCATTGAAGATGCGCGCTGGACTAGAAGTGACGTAGATTTTCTTGATGGCGACATACTTGGGCCGTCGGCGTGGCTCCGACTGGGACGGGTGACTTCGGTTTCGATTCCTTTTAAGCGGTGGGGGCGTCCACTTGACGTTTTCCTTCTCATCAAAGTCCCAGTGGTTGATATACTTGTCATACTGGAGATCCTCCGCCTTGTAAACTGTCGAGAACGTGCCTAGAGCTGGTGTTAGCGACGGCTCTGAGAATCACTCGAAAGTGCGACCATGAGCCACGGAAGACAAACCCTCGCCAATTCTCTTGATTAACCGGTACTTCTCCTTGAATCCTGGGATGCTCCTCTGAAGCTTCTCCATGTCCTGGGCGACGTGGTCCGGTGCAGAGACTTCATCGTCGGAGCTCTCCGTTTCATCAGAGGGCTCTTCTTCCTCTCCCTCCTCCCCGCTCACAGCACCTTCAGACTCTGGCCTGACTTCCTCCGTCCTTTGTTCCGACTCGTCAATCATCTCGGCTTCGTCTGTAGGGGCATCTTCGTGGATTGCAAAGGCCTGGCCAGGCACCGGACCCCGAATCATTGACGCCATGTCTATATATCTATATGTCTTTCAAGAGAACCTGCCATATAAGTGGGTGAGGGTTGGCAGGCTCCCGACTGGAGGGAGTGAGATTGGGGGCAGAGTGATATCGAGACGCGGTCTCAGTGGGGAAATGATACTTCCAAGGGTGAGAAGGAGGGAGGCGGCAAAGGAACGGGTTTCAGCAGAGCATTGCGTAACGAGTGCATGCAAGGGGTATGTGAGCTCGACAAGTATAAAGTGAAAAAAATGAGAAGCCGAACCAGTCAACTCGATCAATTGGCATCAATTGGGCGTACTTCGTAGACACATAGCAAGGTCGAGTTTCGTTCGTCATGTCAATCGCCGTGTTGATTGATTCCTTCAGTGGGCGAAGAACGGGTTTGCAGGGGTGACGCGAGATTCTCAGTGGTAGCGTGGCTCTGATGAGCGGGGGCGATTAGCGAGGTACGAAGTACATTCCGACAGTATCTAAAGTAGCAGTGACAAAGTGACAAATTGACAATCCCCATTGATATTTTGGTGGGGTGAAACTCGATGCGGCTCAATTTTATTTGTTAGGCGCGTGTCGCAAAGAAAACAAAAACAAACCGTTGCCAAGGTCGACGTCAACTCCAACCATCAAATCGACTTCGCTGCACCACCTCAATCCTCCATCTCCAAAACGCCACCAACGACGCATCTTCAATTCAGAGGTGGTCTTTCGATTGTTGTTGATTGCTTCATAGCCCGGTGGAATTTTCAATTCTTCTCTCGCTGTCCTCTCCTGGACACGGCCATCCAACACTAGCCGTCGATATATCGCCCGCCTCCTTCGCCCGCCGCCCGACGGCGCAACCGAAACAATGGACGGCATCAGCTTCGACATCAATGAGGCGCTCAAATACTACATGAGTGACCCCTTCTCGGTGCCCACGCCCGAAGCCGACTCTGCTCTTCTCGACTGCGAAAACGATCCCGAATCCCTTACGAATGCCCTCATCAACCCCGTGTTAAACCACATCGTCGATGCTGTGGCAGAGTGCCCCGAGGCCATTGCGCGCCCGGCCTACCTGGACTCTCTCCAGTTCCTTTTAAAGTTTGCTTCCACCTTTTCTATTTCGTCTAATTATCAAACGTTAGGGTCGCTCGCTGTGAGGCAGCATTCTAAGCTCTCCGGTTCTTCCAGATACCCATCCTTCCTCTCCACCCATGCTCTCAGCAAGGTCTTCGATCTTGTCATGTCTGGGCTCTCCGCCGAGGCCGACGCCATCCACCAAGAACACGAGTCGCCCGACGAGCAAGAGTCCGGCGCACACCACAAACAGCTCCTAGAGATTTACGGCTTCCTCTTACAATGGACCATCGCCGCTGTCGAGACTAAGGCCGCCGAAAAGTCATCCACCACCGCTCCCGTCGCGAGGGGTAGGGGCAAGCCTAAGGGCAAGGGTGCTGCAAAGGACAAGGAGTCGAGCTGGGATTCCGCCTCCCAGTTGCAGGCCGCTATGGAAATTATGTGCAAGGTCCTGAAGCTGAAGCTCTCCAAGATCTTCTTGACAACTTCGGAGCGAGATACATTTATCCAGCAGCTGCTAACCCGGCCAGTCTACATGATTCTCGAGAGCGAACAGAGGGTCAAGGACACGCCCATCAGGATGCATGCCTTCAAGGTGCTTTGCATGGCTATCAAGCACCATGGCCACGGATATGGTATGCGAGCTTATCATTGGTTTTCTTCTGATTTCTCCCGCCTCCGGCTCTCAGGCGATTGCTGACTCTGTGTGTGTAGCTGCGCAAATTTCGATCGTTCAGAACTTGACGTATTTCGAGCATCTATCCGAGCCCATGGCCGAATTCCTCCACATTCTCGCCGAAACTTACGACTACAGCCAACTTGCAGAGGAGGTTCTTCGAGAACTCAGTAACAAGGAGTTCAACTCCAATGATACGAGAGGCCCAAAGTCTGTTTCAAGCTTCATTGTCAAGCTTTCCGAACTATCACCGAGGATTGTCATAAAGCAGGTCACCATGCTCGCCAAGCAGCTTGACAGCGAGGTACGTTGAAGATTGCTTCCACCCGAACCCAAGAGCCACTGACTTACCACCCGTTCTTGTTCAGTCGTATACTCTGCGATGCGCGCTGATCGAGGTTTGCGGCAACATGATTGCCCACCTGAGTCGTCAAGATGAGCGCGGTGAGAATCACAAGACTCAGCTCAACGCATTCTTCGATGTTTTGGAAGAACGCTTTCTCGACATCAACCCCTACTGCCGGTGCAGGACTATCCAGGTCTACGTCAAGCTCTGCGAGCTGGAGCAAAAGTTCCCCAAGCGTAGGCTCAAGGCTGCTGAGCTAGCCACCCGAAGTCTCGAGGACAAGAGCAGCCACGTGCGCAGGAACGCCATCAAGCTCATCGGAACCCTCATCAAGACACATCCCTTCACCCACATGCACGGCGCTCAGCTCGCTCGCAAGGAGTGGCAGGCACGTCTAGACCAGGTCGACGCCGAGATTAATGCTCTCAAACCCCCCGCCGATGCTCCCGCGATGGGTGACGAGGCCAACACGACGACGGACCAGGGTCTCATTGACGAGGCCACCCAGATCGAATCGCCACAGAAACAGAAACCCATGTCGGATGAGGAGAAAATTGCCGCCATTAAGAAGGCGCAAGAAGAAGCTGCGACTTCCGAGGCCATCAGCAAGCTGACACTGCAGAAGCGCTACTACACCGATGCGCTCAAGTTTATCGATGTCGTGCACGAAGCGACCACTACTGTCTGCCAGCTACTTGGGTCTAGGAACAAGAGCGAGGTCATCGAGGCGATCGACTATTTTGAGATTGGAGACGCCTACAATATTGAGCAGAACAAGGTTGGCATTCGCCGCATGCTCAGGCTCATCTGGACCAAGGGCAACAGCGATGAGGGCAAGGGTGTCCAGACCCACCTCATCGACTGCTACAAGAGACTCTTCTTCGAGGCCCCTGATAATTTCAGCCCCAATGATGCAGCCATCTATATCGCCCGCAACATGATCAGTCTTACTTTCGGCGCCACTCCCGCCGAGCTGACCTCGCTTGAGCAGCTCCTGAGTACTATGATGAAGGGAGGCATGATTCCCGATATTGTGGTTGCTAAGCTCTGGCAGGTCTACGGTGTTCAGAAGCGTGAGATGTCGAAGAAGCAGCGCCGCGGCGCCATTATTGTCCTCGGTATGCTTGCCACGGCGAGCCCTGAGATTGTCGTCGGCGAGATGGAGACCATGCTTCGCACTGGTCTTGGTGCCCATGGCAGGGCCGACCTGCAGCTTGCCAAGTATACCTGCATTGCCTTGAGCCGCATCAACCCTTCTGGCCGAGCGAGCAAGGAGTCTGCCGTCAAGTTCTCGCGGCTGCCCAACGACCACGCGGTCCTTCTGCGACTTGCCGCCATTACCGAGGTGCCCACCGAGAGCAAGGAGTGGTATGGTGTTGCCGAGCAGGCCATCAACGCCATCTACGCTATTGCCAAGCACCCTGACAGCCTGTGCTCCGCAATCATCCGCCGAAAGACGAGGCAGGTATTCGGCAGTGGCGGCGCTGCTGCGGCTGGATCCCGCCCAACTTCCCGCGACGAGACGCAGGCCGTCACGCAAGCTGTTACTACCACTGTCGACGCAGACGGCACCCAGACAGTCGTGCTCGCCCCCCAGCCTAGGACCCGCGATGCTGCAGTCGGCCTATCCCAACTTTTCTTCATCGTCGGCCATGTTGCCATCAAGCAGATTGTCCACCTCGAGCTCTGCGAGCAAGACTTTAAGCGGCGCAAGCAAGAAAAAGAGCGCGAAGCGGGATCCAAGGCGGGTGACAAGGGTGCCGGCAAGGACAAGGATGACGAAGGCGACGAGCTCGACCTCATCGGCGGCACGACAGAAGACGACTTCACCGAAGCCATGACGCACATCCGCGAGCGAGAACTCCTTTACGGACCCAACTCGCTCCTCGCCGTCTTTGGCCCGCTCGTGTCTGAAATCTGCGCCAATAACACGACGTACTCTGACAAGGGACTCCAGGCGGCCGCGACGCTCTGCCTCGCGAAGCTCATGTGCGTCAGCTCGGAGTACTGCGAGACGAACCTCCCGCTCCTCATCACCATCATGGAGCGCTCGACGGACGCCACCGTGCGTTCCAACGCCGTCATCGCCCTCGGCGACATGGCCGTGTGCTTCAACCACCTCATCGACGAGAACACGGACTTCCTGTACCGCCGCCTCGCGGACTCGGAGATCTCCGTCAAGCGCACGTGTCTCATGACACTGACATTCCTCATCCTCGCGGGTCAGGTCAAGGTCAAGGGACAGCTGGGCGAGATGGCGAAGTGTCTGGAGGACGAGGATAGGCGCATCGCGGATCTCGCGAGGATGTTCTTCACGGAGCTGAGCACGAAGGACAATGCTGTTTATAACCACTTTGTGGACATGTTTAGCTTGCTTAGCGCTGAGAAGGCGTTGGAGGAGGAGAGCTTTAGGAGGATTGTTAGGTTTTTGCTTGGTTTTGTTGAAAAGGTACGTTTTCTTTCCCCTTCATCTCTCACTCTCTCTCTTCGTTACCCAATGTTGTCTGGTGCTAACCGTCTCGAACAGGACAAGCATGCCAAGCAGCTCGCCGAGAAGCTCGCGGCGAGGCTCAACAGGTGCGAGACGGAAAGGCAGTGGAACGACGTCGCCTTTGCGCTCGGTCTTCTTCAGCACAAGAACGAGGAGATTACCAAGCTCGTGTCCGAGGGTTTCAAGGTTGTCCAAGTCGCGGCGTAGTTTTTCCTTTTCCATCTTAGTTGAGTCGTAATGCGTGTAATGAGGAATATGGACTGGATTGGGGGGGTTATGGGATGTGTATGGATTTTGTTTAGCTGGCGGTATATTTGTATGGAAATTCTGTTGTTCAATGTTTCATCTTGTTCCTGCTCCTTCAAGGCATCACACGTTCCTCCTGATCAGGGATATCGTACTTATGCACGTGAGGCACATAGAGTAGGCTGGCGATAAGTCTAACAAGTTTCAATTCCGTAAATCCTAGCTCGGAGTGTTTTGTACAATACCCAGCATTTAACATTCAACACACAGTCACACCCCCCCGTTCTCCTCTTCCCGTCCTAAAACATTTTATTTCGAGATTTCTCGAGGGGTGGCCGCAAACGTCGGCCTCACAAACCTATCGGACAGCCATCAGTTCCAAACTTTTGTACGCAGCAAAATGAAAGAGGGGCAAAAGAAAAGAAAGCAAAGAAAAGGACAAGAAAGCCATACCTGTCGCTGTGGTACACCTTGGTATTCTCGCCCAAAAGCTCCTTCTCACGCGCCTGATCGGCAAGATACCGCCTCACCTGGTCCCTGTCCTCCTCAGCCTGGAGAACGGGCAGGAGGTGGATACGAGCCCACATCTTCTCACGGGCGTACTCGCTGCAGGTTTCAACCTCAATTAGCAATTATACGTCGTCTCCCTTCCAAAAAAAAAGGATATTTCGTTTCCTTTCGCCCCGTTCTCTCCTCGTGCATCGGGCGGAGCTGGGAGGGGGAGGGGGTAATTCTCTCACTTCGTTTCGCGGATACCACTGACGAGCTTGTACCAGCCGTAGGCCATGACGACGCCGATGCCGAGGAGGTACGTTCGGGGTCGGAAACCGCGGAAGGGAAGGTTTCGCTGCGGTGGAAAGAAATACGTCAGCCGTTCTGCTCCTCTCTCACGAGGCTTAAAATCCATCTTGCTTTAGACCGTCCCTCGGACTCCGACAGTCTCAACGCAATTGGCCGCCCAATCCACCCTTCCCATCGAGTCGGAGGATCTCTCAAACTTTTAATCCACCCATCTCGGTATTCTTTCGCCCAAATCCCGCAGTTCCGCTAACAATGGCCATCATAATGAAGAAAAAAATCCCCCAAACTGCTCACCTTATACTGAACTGGGGCATAGCCGCCAGCAGGCGGCATATCCTGAGGCATGGCGGGCAGACGGAAAGAAACTCGGAATCGCAACCGGTAGGAACTTCGAATTGATTATCTCCTCGTAAGGGCGGCCTTCGAGTCGGGGAGCGCCGGGCGTCGATCGTAGAAGAGAAGTCGGCTCGATTTGCGTGGTTCCAATTGAATGTCTGCAAAAAGAGAGAGCCTCTCTTCGCGATGGGAAGGGTGGTTGATGCTTAGTCATTCGGTACTCCGGCGTCATCTGTTTTTGTGGGGAGGCTATTGGTTGGCGGGTGGTGGCAGGTCATTCCACCTGGCGAGACTGTACTTGACGATGTCGGAGACCGGAGATGCGAAACTCAGGCCATCTGGAGCTTGAGGGATCCCGCGTGGCCTGATCACTGGACTTGGAGGCGCCTTCTCAGTGTAAGGGCGGAGAGAGACCAAGAGAGAGAATCAAGTGAGCTCATCCTTAACCTCCCACTTTAATCATATTTGATCATATACCCTCGCATATTCACATAGAGGAATACCATAGCAACCTTATCCAAACTACCAGAAACTCATAAACTCCTCCCCAACTACAAACAAACATGCCCGAGTTCTTCAAAACGAGCTACATCCTAGGCACGGCCTTCATCGGCCTAGGCATCTACCCCTTCATCCGCCGAGCCCCCCTCCCCATAATCGGGCAACCTCTCCCCCTCTTCTCTACGGACGAGGCCGCCATCAAGAAATCCTCCACGGCCCTCGCCGCCACCGAGGACCACGCCGCCTCAGACCTCGACTCGCTCATCAACCTACTGCTACGCCAAAAGGGCTCGCGCGACATCGCCCTGGGATTCCTGTTTCTTTCGCACGAGGGCCACGGAGACGACATGGCCGTCGGTGTGCTCATGAGTATGGTGGGCGCCGTGGATCTCGTCGACGCCGTAGAGATGTGGAGGAGGGGTGGGGAGGAGGGACAGAGGAAGGCGCTGGGGTATTTGGCTTCGGGGGCGGTTATGATTATTTTGGCGTGGAAGAAGTTGGGGTTGACGGAGGTGATTAAGTCGAGGTGGTTCTAGGGGTGACTTGGTTTTGGCTTTGGTTTTCTGTATATACCTCTTTGGCGGGTTGTTTCTTTTAGGTTGTTAAGTCTTGCTACGTTTGATCCCCTATCTCCTAGCCGATGGGTATAGGAGACAGCGACTGAGACTGACAAGGGGGGGGGATCACAATATCAATGATACCATTTTTTATAGCAGCTTTTTCACATACAAGGCCGTTTTGCGAATCATCAAGTCGGACATTTTGAGCTATGTGAAAAGGAAACATTTGCAGCGAATGCTTACTCGAACGGGCTAGAAGTTAAGCAGTTGGATGGATCAATGACCCAACACCCACTTCGAGCCTTACAGACAAAAACACACATTCCAGAAACATCTTCCTTCGCCTAGTGCTTCTGCGATCGCCTCTTCTTGCACTTGGGTGCCTCCTTCACCGGCTCCTCGGCCTCCTCAGAAGGCCAGGATCGAATAATGATATCAGCAGCCTGAAACCTCGTTAGCATTCATTTCCTTCGTCAACATCATCAGAAAATAATATAAGAGAGCAATACAACTTACCTTCTCACCAATGGCATAAGCAGTAGCACTAGTATGCGTTCCGGGAATTATGGGAATAATACTAATATCCGCAACCCTCACCCTCTCTAATCCATGCACCTTCAAATCCGGACCAACCACGCCTCCCTTCTCCTTGGGCATCATCGACGCCGTGCAGCAGGGATGCATAAACGAAGGCGTGATAGTATTCCGAATATACTCCGTAATGTCCTCCACCGCCGTCACATTCGCGCCAGGAGAGACCTCCCTGGCACCCAAAGCCTGCATCGTCTCCGTCTCATAGTACCGTCTGAAAAATGGCAAGAAACGCGACATGACCTCCATATCGATGGGATTGGCACCAGTCCTATAATCAACGATGGGTTCGGCGTCGTGATCCTCAGGGTTGAGCTGCACGGTCCCACGGCTAAGCGGCTTAAGAAGGAAGCCTCCGCCAGGCGTCGAGCTCATCCAGGGGGCCTCGAGGACGGGGTGCTCGGGGTTCTCAAGCGCGTCAGCCAGCACGGCAAGCTGCGCGAGGTAGCCATCCTTGACGCTCTCGGGTGTTCCTTCGGAGAGGTAGTCGAGCGCCGAACCGTCTTCGATCTGTGCGCGGATGGCGGCTACGATGTCGGCTGAGTCTTCGGTGATAACAGGTAGGGAGAGGTAGATGGCGCTATTGCCCATGGCGAGGGTGTATGGGCCTTTGGCGGGGCGTTCGGCGTAGAGGTCGAGGGCTTCTTTGGCGAAGGTTTCGTTGGAGTTGATGGAGCCTTGGCTGGGTTGAATGGACTCGGCGACTATAATTCACACAATAGTTAGTTTTGAGCGAACTACGAGCACTTGTATTCTCATCCCCTGAGGAAGACTTACGCGCAAAGGAAGATCCAGGGCCGCAGTGATCCTGGAAATTATGTCCCACACCAGGCAAGTCAACCACAACCTCAATACCAGCAGCCTCCAAAAACTCGGCCTCCCCAATGCCACTCCTCTGCAGAATCTGCGGTGAGTGAATAGCCCCAGCCGAAACGACAACTTCCAACTTAGGCGTGACGGTCTTGACATCATCCTCACTATCCGAATCTACGGGCTTGAATTCGATGGCCGGCGGAGCATCGGCCTCGCCTACGATGAGACGCGTGACCTTGTGTCCAGCGAGAAGGTCGTAGTTGGACCGGTCCTCGATGACTTCGAGGTAGTGGCCGCGGCCGGCGTGAGATCGCTGGCCGTCGAGATAGTACTGCGAGGCGGGGACCCAGCAGACGCCGTGTTTGTCGCCGCCGGCGCATTCCTTGGGTGAGGGGAGACCCATCTCGATGAAGGCGTCCCAGGCGATTTCTGACAGTAACTCGTGAATTAGCCATAAAACGTTCTTAAGAGCTCTGTTTCTGGGGGGAGAAATTGGGCTGGGCCGCTGTTTGTAAAGCTTACTCTGGACGGGGAACTGGTACTGGGCATAGACGGCCTGGATGTGAGAGACGTTCTCGCCATATGCGGCATCAACATCCCAGGTGTATCCGTACAGTTCGGCATTCTCCTCCGAAGGCTCGAAGAAAGTGACGCTCTGCAGCAAATATAAAGTTAGCTTCTTCTTCCCCCTCCCCTCTTCCATAACCACCCAAAGGCTAGGAGTGGGTATTATGTATATCCTCACCTTCTTGAAAAATGGCAAAATATTATCCCAGTCCCAACTCTCCTCACTCTCATCAAACTCAGGGCTACCAATCTTGGCCCAGTCGTCATAATCGAGCTTATGTCCACGATCGAAGAACTGTCCGTTGATGGTCGAGCTCCCACCGACAGTCATTCCCACGGTAAGCGAAGCACGTCGGTTGTTCAGGGCCGGAATGGGAAGCGACTGGATGTTGAGACGCTTGTTACCGGGGCCGCCGCCGGGAGGCTCGAAAACCGCCTCGGCGTCTTCGACGACACCATACTCTATGACGAGAGTATTTCCTAGACTCGTCATGTTAATATAGTTCTTGGGTAGAACATCCGCAGGAGAAATGAGATGCAAACCTACGCTCGGGAAAAGCCTCGCTGAGACGGTCGGCAATGGTAAGACCCGCCGTTCCACCGCCAACAACGACGAAATCATAACTGTCGCGAAGCTCCTCAACCTGTCTCTTGACAACCCTCCCAATGCCGTTCCTATGCGGCAAGGCGCTCGCCAATGCAAGCGTACCGAGAAGGACGAGTGCCCGAGTCGGAGCCATCATCAAATGCTCAAGATGTTTTCTCAACCTGGATTCTTTCGAGGTTGTCCTTGCTTCCAATTGAGCAATGCCTTCACGGAATCGCTTTGAAAGAGAGATCATCCATCACAATCTTCCAGAGCAAAATCCACCGTTCTCCGCATCTTCATATATACCAAGGCTCGCCAAGTTCTCCTTTTCCCCTCAAACCCGCATCTCCAAAATACGCACTCGTATAAATTGCTGTCATCCAATTTTCCCGACCCATAGTACGATTGCTTCCCCATCCTCTCCGCTTCGGGTCCGGCCTGTCATTGCGGCCTCAACCCCGAAGTACGAAGTATGTCCTGCAAGTCATCTATTCACAGCTGCTCCTCATATATCCTCTCCAGGGGCGGTCCTCTCTGACATCTCCGCCTAAAAGGGAGATACTTGGACATTTCCAATTACCCAAATCCCATGTTATAGTTATTGGGCCAGTTATAACCTCTTCCCTCCTCGATTTGTTAATTGTTTTCCCCCGCACTCATTCCCATCATCGGCTGTCCCGGGTGGGCAAGGCCAAGGTTTATTGCATCGAGCCGGCAGTTTGACAGCTTGCCCTGAATTTCCCGGCTTTTATTAACTGGCAGGTACCTTGCGGCAGAAGCAAGGTCGGCCGACGCTCATCTTGGGGTCCCTGTATCTTGATCTTGTCTGTCGGATGACTTTCAAGATGACCGTTCCCCGTGGATCTCATAGATCATGAAAGCATTCCTGTTCATTATGTGGTTAATGTGTAGCAAGATTCAAGACTGCGCTTCTGCCGTGTCATTTGGGAACTCTCCGTAGAACAGACGCGCAATCAACGGTACGTCGCCCTCAGCCAAAACGAGCAATTCGATCTCGCTTGTGCTCCTCGATATATCCTCCATGGTTCACTAAACAGCAAGAATCACAATTACAATAGGCACAAAAAAAAAAAAAAAAAAAAAAAAAAAAAAAAAGGATGTACCTTTCATGAACCATTTCCTCATAAAGTTAAGAAAACGCCAAAAAATCATCTAATTTACAAAGAGCTGTTCCAACAGGGTATATCTCGCCCCCATGCACACCTCCCTCTGTTCTATCTAAACACGGCCAAATCCTAACAACTTTCCCCTCACAAGAATGCCTTCTAGCCATTCTCCTGAGCCTCCAACTCCGCTAATAAGTCGGCCTCAAGGTCCTCCTCGAACGACCCCCTCCTCTCCTCCTCCACGTCGCTGGGCGCCCTCTTCTCTCCCTGCTGCGCTTCGTCCTCAGCGGACCCGGAAGCAGGAGGATCGGAAACATCTCCGTTCGTCAGCCGCTGGCGTTTCGCTGCACTATTTTCGGCCTCTTCCTCGGCCCTCCTCTTAGCGCCAGACTGAGATGAAGGTGTTGGTTTGGAGGAAGGCCCAGATTCCTCGCCATCAATTTCAACGTCCTCATCCCCTTCCTCTTCCTCCTCCTCTTCTTCGTCTAGATCGGAGGCATCGCTGCCAAGGAATTCGGCAAGCTCATCGTCGGCACCCTCCCAGTCGAATGTCTTCAGGTCGTCGATCGGGCTGTTAGCGCCTGCTTCGATCTGATGAGGCATGACATGGTCGACGTCGATGACGAGCTTCTCGCCTGCCTCGCCTGCGTTGCCCCCCTCCTCCTCTTCCTCCCCTTCGTCGTGGTCATCACCATGACCATTACCGACATCCTCGTCGAGTTCGAGCGCTTGCTTTTGGCCCGACTCATCAATAATCGTCAGCGTCGGGGTCGCTTCAGCATTCTCATCCTCGTCGGCATCAGAAACCTCCGCCGAGAGTGGCTTTACAGACGGTCGTTTCCTGTCCGATGGGTGCACCTCGACCAGGTACGGTGTTTCGTCGAGCGCCTTCCATTGGCTAAGACAGTCGATGAGCCAGTACTGGTTGACGATTTTGATGCTCGGTATCTTGGCAGCCTGTCGCAACTTCTCTGTTCGCGGCCGCTGTGTCGATACGACGAGATGCGTCACCCGCTTAGAGATCCGCGTGTCCAAATCCGCACCGAAACTCATAATCTGGAGTCCGAGTTCAGACTGCAGCACGTCGACGCCGAGGGGCACGAGGCCCGACAGAACAACGACGCATCCCTTCAGTACCTCGCCTTTGAGCTCATCCAGAATGTATCCCGCGTCGGGGATGAGAGACAAATCGTCCTTGCCTTCAGGATTCCGCTCGTCGTAGTGTTTGTAAAACTCTTTATGTATGTTGGTCAGGTGTCGCTTAATGTGTGAAAGCTCTTCGTCGTCATCGCGAAGGACGTGGTGCCTCACCACCGACGACGATGATGATGACGATGATGTGGCATTGGCCGACTCCTCCGCCTTCTGTGCGAGATCGTCTTCCTTGTCCAACTCTTCCTGCATGTGAAGCAGCGGCCGCTCCGTGATCTGCTTCGCGAGAGACTTCTCCTGCAATGCCGCCTGCTCCAGCTGTAGCGCCTTATCCTGGCCACTACTCATGCTTACTAGATCGTCGAGTGCGGATGCCGTTTTGATTGCCGCCGCATCGCCTGTCGACGCAGCCACGGCAGCGCTAAGAGGGCTAAGAGGAGTGCTGCCATTCGTCGCCTTTGGCGGGGCGGGGAGGATATCCTGTCTTTTGGGCAGGAAGCTAGAGTTAATGTCGCCGATTCCTTTGAAAAAGTCGTAGGGGGTAACCTTGACTAGATTCGGCCGGTTCCTGGGCCAGACATCAGACCTGTCGTCGATAATAACGACCATGTCAGTGCTGACGGGAAACAGCCGATGGAGGTTTTTGGAAATTATATTTCCGTTTTCATCTCGCGATATTACGCGGTCGCCGAAGTACTTCTTCTCGGGATCGATAAGTTTCGCAATATTGATGGCATAGGCGCGGGTACCCATGGTGTAGACGTGCATCTCGTACATGTCTACCATGGTCTCGAGGAACTCGGCGAGACCGGGCCGCATCTTGATGTAATACCAACAGCCAGTAGCCAAGCCTCGAGGTCCATCGTCGTTAAGCTGGAAACTCTTGATATCCTTGACGGCTTCGTAATTGGGGTTGTTCGGATCGCTCTGCCACTCGCCAATGGTGGGTTCTATACACGCGTGGATGATGGTCTGATCGAGATCCACGACGAGACTTAGCTTGCGCTGCTCGAGCAGGCGCCTCTGAGTCGCGTGTTCTACTCTCGCGGCAAGGTTCGAGCTAACTGTGAGGCCGGTGCTATCGTGCGTCATATTGATGGTAGCGCGCGACGTCTCGGGTTTGTCGGACGACCAATCCATTTCCGTCATGTCTTTGCCGCATATCGCGCAGAGACCCTGGAATTGGATCTCATGGGTGCAGGATTCTTCGATCACCATGCACGGCGCATCCTTCTCAATGGTGGCACCCTCATGGATGCGCCACTCCGTCAGCTTGCCATCGGCAGGAGACTCCCACGACACGAGGGTGACTTGCTCTTCCTCTCTCGTTTCGCCGCGGAACGAGTCACCAACCTCTTTCATCCATTTGAACTTGTATTCGAAGACGGGCTCACGCTTCTTGACCTCGTCGCCGGGCGATTTTAACAGCTTGGTTATCGTGATGGGGTAGCGCAAGCGCGACCCTAGGGACAATATCTTGGTCATGTTGGGGACATGTGTGTCGGGTGCGGCAATCCCATCACCGGGACATTTATGGTTGGGTGTATCGTATCAAAGAAGCGCGTTGGAACAGGTGTCTCTTGCTGAACGCGGTAGTCGGAAAAAAAGGTAAGCTGGTGGCGCTCTTTGTTCGGTGTCAATGGTGGGGAGCGAGAACGGCGGTATGCTGACAACAAGGGTCGTCTGATGGCTGGCATGCACCTCGCCCGACAGGGACGGGCAATGCGAAAGGGGGGGGGAATGGATTGGGAACGATCTCAAGAGGTCCCTTAGAAATGTGTGCTGCCGCTGTCAATCCGTGGTATCCGATTCAGAAGGGTGTGGGGTGAAGTATGTGAGGATGTAAAATTGGGGAGAGGCGCGGGTTGGAGTGCCCTGGAAGTTGTGGAATGACTAAGGCGCGACGCGGAACGGGGCCAAGTCAGTGGTAGCTTCCCAAGGCGCGACGATAAGGTGATGAAGCTTGTAGTTGGATTTCGACTCGGGCCGGATTAACAATGCTGCCAGCAAGGCTCGATAATGCAAGGGCAAAGGGGGTGGAAAATCAGAGGGAAAAAGATGTAATCGAAAGGTAATGGGTATGTATGATGGTGACGAGGCGTGCGAGGCGTGCGAGGCGAAGATGCTTCGCGTTGATCATCAAATTCCTGAGGTAAAGATAAAAAGACCAAGACTCGTCAATGTTCTTGGCAGACGGGAGACTCAAAACTAGAGTTGGCTGGAGCTTTGGCTGTGAAGAAGTGGTTCTGGACCACAGCGGAACAAGGAGAAAAGAGGGAAGAGTGAGCAGCGGACCATGGTACCTTTGTACTCGTACAGCTTGGAAGCTCCCTGCAATTGTGCTTGCAAAACCCAGGAGAAACCCCACTTATATACTTGTAGCTGGTGCGAAGCAAGGACAGGCTATAGTGTACCAGTACTTTCCACACATCAAAATCAATATAGGTTTGAAGCCTAATTGACTGGAGACCCAAGTACCGCTACTATTAACCAGTAATTTCCTCAGCTATTGTACCTTTCCCCCGAGCCACAGGGTCGTGACATGGTGTGGCTGGATCTGCGAAACTGGTCCGTGCGTGAATAGCTCCCAAGTCCCTTGTACCCCTCGTCAGACTTACACTTGCAAGGACCAGTCGAAAAAATGTTGTACTTCGTACCTCCTCGTTGTTCAGTTGCGTCCCCAAATGCCCCCACATCTCTGACCTCATCCAACCCACATGCACCTTCCTCGAATCATAAATGCTTCACCGTACAAAAGTAGATTGCTGTTTGTAGCAATGCTGTGCCTCCAAGAGTAGAGACCATCCCAGGTCTTCAAGTCTGCCGTCCCACATACAGTTTAATTGAACCATCTGCCTAGAATAGAGCGCATTCCGTTGAGCACAACCCAGAGGACCAATTGAGGGATTCATCAGCCACAATTTAGTGAGGTAGTTGAGGTAGAACCGATGTCGTGCACGTGTTGGAGTGAGATGCCAACTTGGGAGTCAATTGATGCGATGAGACTGCGTCCTATCATCTAGTTTATCATCGGTCTTTCTGCTTAACGGACAGGTGATCTCGCACCTTTCGCCACCGATCAATTCCTCTCAATAGCTGGCCCTCTATCCACACTACAGAGTACTTGGTACTTGACCCAGCGTGGTATCCTCAAGCATCTGCAACATCAGGTGAGAGAGAGCTAACGACGCCCAGCTCACATTTGTGACCGTTATGCATAACACCACGCGATGTTAGGTCTCCATGCTTCCCGCACAGCAACTCCTTGGGATTTTCATCTCAATGTGTGGTAGATACTATTGTGTTCTTCAATTTGTTATCGTTTTTCGTATGGGCGGATGGCCCATTTGCTTAAAGACCTTCCTGTGAGATGTCTCAAGCCGCACTCTCACCATCAATGACCCTAATACTTCGGCGCATCTGTCAACGGCACATACCGGACACCAAACAACTTAGTCCTCGTAATTTTTCCATTCTCATCCTTGTCAATGTTCCAAACATGCTGGTCCCATCCGCCAATATCGTCATCCACTGGAATAAACAGCCTAGGTGCAAGAAAACCCGTTAGCATAGGACATCCTGACCGCAAAATTCACGCACAACAATCTTACCTCCCAGGCGACTTCAGCTGCGCCAAAAGCTCCTCATGGACCTCCTTCGCCGAAGCCCCAACATGAATAGCATCCCACCCCTCTCCGCCCGCTTCCTCACCCTCCCTCGGCTCCTCAACCCACCCCTTCCTCCCATCCCCAACGGTAAACTTGACCTTTCCCGAGTCCACAAACTCCCTGCCCTCCTTGCTCTTCTTCATGTTCTTCTCTCCTAGCTCCTTGAGCTGCTTGATGTGCTCGACGCCCACGACGAGGCCCTTGTCGCCCACCAGCTCGGCCATCAGATGGGTGAGATAGCCTGAGCCCGAACCGATGTCGAGCACGCGGGGTGCTGGACGGTTGGCCGTAGGTACCATGTAATCGACGAGGTTCTCCATGGCTGTAGCGTGCATGTGCGGCGCTGAGATAGTTGCCCCGTAGCCGATGGGCTGCGGTGCATCTTCGTACGCCATTTCCGGGGCGTAGTGCGCCCGGTCAACCTATGTATTCGAATACTCATCAGCATATTGAGATTATACAGCACGTAACTCCCGGGCTGCTCCGGTAATGTAGAAACCAAATATCCCCGCCCCCAAAGCATTGTTTAAGCTCACGTTGAGGAATGCCTCTTTCACTCGGGCATCTTTGAGGAGACCATGCCTCGCCATATTCTCCACCAGCTCCGAGTTGGAAGTCCCCGTGCTTCTCCACGCCATTTTCAACGCTTTTGCGAACGAGCTGGTATTTCTTATCTCGGTTGTCCCTAAGTCCTTAGTCGCAGAGTACGCTGGGAAAATGATCCTAGGCACGAAAGGTGGATATCGGAATCGAATAGTCCTGATGCGCGAGAAGGATCTCCTTGATATCATCAATGGGTCGTCGTAGGGTGTTTATAAGTTGCTCAGCTCCGAAGGCGTGATCTGACGCAGAAACAAGATCCTCGTATTTCAACACAATGAGGGATCTTCCCCCCTTAAAAACAAACGAAAACCTCTCCCTGTGGGAAAGCAAGTAACGAGGTTGGTGGCGCCGTGTCACAATCGAATCAATTTGAATGACCTGGTGGTGATGTGATGATCTAATAATCGTATGAAGTCACCATCACCCAAGACTCAAAGTGCGGGGGGGAAGCGGCACATGGCGCATGAGTTGAGGTGTCTCGTTCTGCAGCATAGCATGCAGTTGACAATTGTATGCTGTCTTGGGTTGGTTTACCAGTTCAGAGTTTAGTCAGAATTCCGAGATACTTTTGCCCGTTTGATTCAACTGCTTGTTCCCTTTGAACATGGCTTTGGATTTTGCGACATTTACGTGGGGGAACCGAACAAAAGAGAAGTCTGGCGAGGTATGTTCCTGGATGTCAAACATCAAACCGTTTATAAGACGTCAAACCTAGCAAGTTAATCAAAGCACATGCTTAGCTTCACTCCATTTCTTCCTCTGGCGTATGGGAATAAATAGTACTGGATTCACGAAGGGACACTAGTGACTTAGTAGATGGCGGTTTCTACATCAATTGGATCAGCAGTCTCCGAAACAGCAAGGAAATGGTATTGTTTTTTCGAGACGAAATGAAGCCTTCATGCTTCATATGAGTGAGTATATGACCAAAAAAAGTGTGAATCAGATAGGAAAATCGCCGTATGCCCGTGTGATGTAGTAATACATTATATCCGCCATCCGTACCCAAACAAGGAAAATGGAAAAGTGAGAGAGAGAGAGAGAGAGAGAGAGAGAGAGAGAGGAAGGAAAAAGAAGTCCAAAGATGAAGCAATGACTGCAGGTGCCGTCTATACGGTTCTTTCTGGAGGCTCTCCCTCAGCAATAATAGGCACCGGGAGTCCCCGGTCAGGACTCTGCAGGACAAGCTGCTCGTGTCGCCTCGCATTCAGATAATCGCTAATCGCCCTAATGAGAATGAACCATCCCACCACCATCAGGATATAAGAAAGCCACTCGGATCCGGAAATGTCAAATGCGTCGTCGTCACTGTTCGTCACATCGCTCGGATCGAAGTCGTGGGAGTTCGGATCTGGGGGGCTCGCGTAACCGTCGGGTCCAGGCATCTGCCCAGAAGGCGGCGACGAGCCAACAGTGGTCTTGAGGCCGAATCCGAATTGGATTAATGTGATACCTAGGCCCGCCCGGGAACCATTCTTTGCCGCATGTGAAGAGTGTAGGAGGTACGTGAGGAGGAATCCGACGATTTGGAATGACCACGAAATCAAGGCGTTCCAGAGAAAACTGAAGAAAGAGCCAACCGGTAGACCATCGATAAACACATCGTCTGGTCCACCGAGACCGGGTGCTAGGATCGTCGTCTCCCAGTACGGTGGCGCCTGGTCCGCCGCAGCTTGTTCGTATGACTGCGAAAATACGTCAGTACCACTGTCTTGCACTTGGATACTTATTCCCCTCAACTTACTGGTGGCTGTTCCTCCTTCTCGCCGTCACTCCTCTCGGGCTTCGCAGACATGTTGGAAAATACTCCGTCCGCCTGCGAGCCACCACCATAAACCCTTCCTCCTAGGCTTGCACTCCCTACTTGCGGTACTGACTGATACCCGTTCCTCCCTGTTCTGGCTGGCGTCTCCTCGTTACTCTGTGATGGTGTGGTGGGTTCGGCCGGTAGGCTGTTGTTTCGCACCAGCCTCTGTCGATCATCGGACTCGTCCTCACTATCGTCTCCGTCGGCATCGAAAGCATCTGCAAGGTCTTGGTTCACGCGTTGTCGGCGCCGCTCGAAGGAAGAGGCTCTGGAGTGGAAGGAAGGAGGCGGTGAATTGGGAATTGGGTTCATTTCTCGGGGCCCGGTTGCCCCTGTCCTGTGATCTTCTTCATCGCGGGTATTTACCTGTATATCGACAAAACGTTAGTTAATGAAAACTCGGTGGTTGCGGACTCGTTAGAAGGGGTTCCTACCCGTTCGTAGCCACCGCCTGACATGTCGTGTAGGTTCGTAGGTTCGTCGAGTGGAATGGTCGAGTGTGGTGAAGTTGGACCGGAAAAGGTGACGTCGGATGGAAGAAATCGTCGTGAATCGAAGGCAAAAAAATCAAATGCTAAGAATAAGAGTAAAAGAAGTAAATTAATTAAGAGAACAAACGAAAAAATGTCGCCATGTGTTTTGGGCCTGCTGGGGAAGTTGACAGGCACCAAAGGTGACAAATGGAAGCGAATCGATCGGAGAGCGAAAGGAGGCTGAGCTGAGGGCACAGGAACACTAGACTCCAGGTGCACGAGACAAAGCGCCCTGTAATCGGTTTTGTAACTCTTGCGTGTCAGAGAGGCGAGCGGGGACTTCAATTGTTGGTTCCGAAGTGCGGGAAGAGTTGGGTGAAAGTACGAAGTACCTTTGGTATTCACTACGCCTGAGGCAAATTAGATCAGATGACGAAACACCGTCGAAACGGAGGTATGGCACTGTGTCCTGCACGGCCTTCACTTTAATTTTTCTTGAACGCGAGAAAGACGCATCACAAGCATCAGGAGCATGACTAGTATTGGGGGCCAGGATAGATCCTAACTCTTAATCATGTCACGACCCGCGAGTGTAAGTTTTAAACAGATTTCTCTGTGACCTCTGAATCACTGCTAACGTTGTGTACGTACAGCTCGCTTTTCAGCGGTACCAAAAGGCCATTTCTCTATGGCCCCGCGACAAGGTGCGGCCCGGCGTCCAGATACAGGATGCCATCCAGAAGCGAGTAGATCGGACGTTTGATGCCAAAGCTGCGGCGCCGGACGAGGCTATTGAGTTGAAGCAGGCCAGCGCTCTTCTCACGTTACTGAATGACGGGTACCAGAAGAAGGTAGAATAGCTCTCTTCGCGAATCGAACAATCTGGAGTGTGGACTAATAGATGCGTTTCGGTAGTATCCCCTGAGGGCAACACTCAAACCGAAATCCAACCCGGCGTATTTTGAAAATCTCCTCGCGGAGCTCGACAGGATGCCAGACAAGACATATGCGGCGAAGTTGTGGGAGAGGATATCGGGTTTCATTCGGTTGAGGTAAAAGAAAAAAAAAAAGCGATAACGGTGAAGAAGAAAGATTTGTATATGGGGCAAGAAATCTTATTTTAGATCTGTACAATAGCTGTAACAAGTACTGGGGTATATATGCAAGGGCTATGCGCCGCTCATGATCTTCCCGCCTCTAGCTTTGTTTCCCAAAGTCCTCTACACTGCGCTTATATGTACTTCTGGTCCGGATCGACCTTGTTCATGAAATCTATCGCCTTCTCGTAAATCGTGAAGACGATACCGCCGCTGAGAACTAACCGAGCCAACCGCGGAAGAGCACCGCTCCAGAAAGTCAAGACACCCTCCTGCTTGAAGATGATAGCAGCGCACCTGAACGAGTTTCCGTATTGCGACCTCGCCTCGATACTCTGCATACGAGTCTTGATGGTGTCGAGCGGTTGCGTGACGTACACGGTGACGAGACCGGCAAGACCGCCCATGGCGAACGTTCCAGCAGCACCAAGCTTTTCGCCGGGAGCGATGTAAGACTCGGCGATCTGCTTGAAGAAGTTGTAGGAACCGAATCTCGTGGCGCTGTTGGCGGCCTGTCGCGCCGTGGTGGGGACGAAACCCTGGAAGAAACCGCGGATACCTCGCTCGCGGGCAATGATGGGGACGGCGTCTAGGAAACCGCGCATTCGGGGCTTGGCACTCTTTCGGTCGTCGATTCTACGTTCGTTCAAGATGATATAATTAGAAAGTTGCGCTCTCAGGAATAAAAGGCAAACACCGGGGATCTTGCTTACAGCGTGGTCTTGATACTCTCGGTGGGGGTGACAGCGAGGAGGGACTCTGTCACACCGGCGCCGAAACCGGCGATAACTGTTCTCGGCCCGGATAGCTTGCCTTCGGAATCGACAAGGAGCCTCTTGAACTGGTCAAAGGCAACGAAGCCTAGATCCGTTGTTAGATAGGGGTGTGAGACGGGAAGCGACGTGGGCCTTGACCCCTTGCGGGGTGTTTGGTCGCGAGACGAAACGTACGGATTCCGGCCTTGAGGGAGTTTCCTATTATGAGAGTGGTACATCCTGCATACCACTGGGCGCCAAATGGAGGCCATGGGAGCTTCTTGCCATCGGCGAGGCGGCGATTAAGCTGTGTTCTTGTCTTGGCAACTTGGGAGGAGTTTTCATGTTAGCGAATCCCCCTTAATACAGATATGGTCGGTCTCTCGATCGAGTTTGCGGGGACGTACATTCGGCAGGGTAAGTAATAGCTACAAAACGAACAAGGGTTAGCATATATCCTCGACGTCCAGACTTCGTCCGGCATTATATATCCTTGGCTCCTAGCTATCGATAGATGTTGATCGCAGGCAGCTCGGTTCGCGACGGGTCTCACCAATTTCGATTGCACCGGCCGTAGACCCGGCGATGATAGACCGTAGGGCACTGGGGCCCTTTAGCACAACGGGCTGTTGCTTTTCCTCCTGCTGGGCCATCGTGGCGCTTGTCGAGTACGGAGGGTTTGAGAGGTGGAATGTGGGGGGGAGGAGAGGTTTTCCTTGTGGTGCAGCTTTGCTATGCTGTGCGCGTTGTTATCGCAGCCTTGGTTGATAGCTAGAGTGCTACACTGGGAACCAAGCAAAATTTCGATTGGTGGTTGATTGCGAAACCGGCATGCGTTGGGCTGATGCTGTTACTGCAGCATGTGGCTGTCGTCTGGGTGTGCCTTGATGACGAAAGTTAGTTGGAGTCCCACTGTCACTGTCCACTGCCCGTCCAGTTTACTTGTGTAGTCTAGTTGCAGGGCACATCGTCCGTTTGGGCATCTTCAATGTTCCTTTGTGCGGTTTGTGTTGGACGGATTGACACTGTGCATCCCACCAAATGAGCAAATTGATCCTTCGACAGGCCAAGGTACATTCGTACAAGTACCGAGACCGAGGATCTATCTCATCTCGCACCTCGGAGTACAGGAATCTGCGCTACCTTCAGCCCTGACCTGGATTTCGGATATCTTCAACTAAACTCTCATTTTACTTTGTAACTCTGCACTACCATTTTACACCATGCAGATGAAGTTATACTCCAAATACAGATACGGTAGGCTAGTTCCTACCCTCGCGTTGATCAATCTTTGGCAGTCAATACTCATTCCCGTCTATTATTTGCTGGTTGTATGTACTGCCGCCCTTGTAAATCTGGGATTGGCTTCACCGAGAAACTGGGCGATCTGCTCCTCAAAAAGTTTGATTCTTTGGAACAGCCTCATAAGGATACGAAGCCAATTCGGTACGAAGTCATCCCCCCGTTCGCTCGCTCGTTTATCGTTGATCGTTGTGCCTGGGTCTGATGGCAGCTGTTGTGCATTGTTCCATGTGCTCTTGTCAATGATACATGGGTAGCGCGATATGCGCTGAAACCCGCCGCGCGGCAGCCTGCAGCATGGCCGCTTCGGTTGGGACAGACCAGACTCAGCACCCCGACCTCTGGCCTTATTGCTTGAGGTATTGGCGTGAGTTAGTATTATTGGCGGCCTCTTTCGTCTGAAGCTCGCAGCAGGGATCCCTGCACCTAACAGGCATTGATATCAACGAGACCGACGTCGAGAAAGCGGTCAAGATTGAGAACTTGTAAATCTTCATTGTCGAGGAAAAGAGAAGAATAAGACAAAAGTCGATGGAATAGATATCGTATCCTCCAGTCTCATCGCCCCTCTTCATCAATCCAGTCACGCGCACCCGCGGCCAGAAATAGAACAAGCTGTCGACTACGAAGTAGCTTCTCGACGCAAACCAACACAGTCAGGTCATCGAACACAGCCGCGACACCTCCCAGCGGACTTCCACGATTTCGTATTAGCTTCCAAGGTTGGGAGAGGCCGATCCAGACCAAAACTGGGTGCTGACGTTGCAGGTTTCCCACCCACATAATTCCTGCATTCTTGCACCTTAGTCCCAGACTCCCAAGGAGCTCCTAGCCACCAACAAGCAAGGTTACTTTCCTCTTCCTCGCACAGGCAGCTCCAATCATCCTTAGTGTCAGCATCCCTGGAGCTGAATGGTCAGCTCATCCGCCTCACCCCCCTGGTGTTGGTTTGATGTTGCTGTGTGCATCAAATCTCTGTGTCACTTCGTAGCTAGCAATACCTAATGCGAAACAATCTGATGCCAGCAGAATTGAACCGAACCGCCGACGTCTTCACTGTTGCTGGGTTCATCTAGATCCACTGGACTGAGGCCCCCTTCGAATCGCTGCCGGGAGGGAAAGACGGGCTTGGCACCACGACAGCATCCGCCGTGGCTGGATTTTGTCGTTTGACTTCCAGTGTCTTGCCGCACCACAGAAGGCAATATTTGATACCTGGTTGCCAGGTTCACTTTCATCACTTCACACACACCTGCAGTCTGTATAAGATAAACATTGAACCCAGTCGAGATCTCTTTTCCTCACCCTCACACCCCTTACCTTTTTCACCTCCCATTATTTATTTCGGGCATTTCATTCATTGATTTTCCCTATTTCTTTTTAACCATCCCGATTTCCTCTCACATATCGATCGGCCCCCACTACCCTCATTGTTCTCAACCCAGCGCTCTCGGAGCTTGCTGTCTTGCAGATGGCGGGGTCTCATGGCAGAGATCCAAACGCGGTGGAAACCGTCGAGGCCCGATCTCTCACTTCGCTTAACCACCTCGCCGCCAATCCGCCTCAATATCCAAATAAACCTACCGACGAAAAGTTAGAGCCTCTAGTGCTTTACATTTCCCGAGTTCCCGGCACAAGAGGTAAAGCTGAATCGTTTTAACAAGACAGATTACGTGTCTCGATGGGAGACCGGCTGACCATGACATGTATTCTAGATGTAATTCTTTCCACAGCTAAGCCACAGCTCAAGAACGTAACGGGCGAGGACGTACTCAACGCCCTATACTACGTTCACCTCGACTTGCCCAATGAAACATCTGAGCCGCCGGCCCCCATCGCGGATCCCGCTGCGCCTAGGAGAAGTCAAGAAAGCTCTAGAAGCACTACTAGCCAGAATCAGATCCGCAGAAAGCCATTGCCCGCTGACTCTAGAGCCGCCACCCTTGTCTCATCACCGACGGGATCGGTTGGAGCTACCTCACCGACGCGAGCACCAGCGCCAGCGCCAGCACCCGTATTGGCACCTGCTCCGGCACCTGCACCTGCACCAGCGGCCGTCCTGGCCCCCGCTGCCACAGCTCCGAAGAACCTGTCGCCTGCCGATGACCCTCCTCCGCCGTATACTCCATCACCCCTTGACCGACCCACTCGTAGCGCCGAGAGCAGCGACGATGAGCGCCTGCGACCAGTTTTACCTCCCCGCCCAGCATCGAGTCTAGAGAATCATGGCTACGAGTTCCCTCCGGATCTGCCTCCTCGCCCGGGCTCTCAAGGCAACCTGCATCCGGATGGTCCTAGGTTGCTTGGCCCGCGACCGCTACCGGGAACCCTGTCCGCCGGGGGAGCCCCCTTAACGGACGGCTCCGCAATAACCTCGCAGCCCCGGAACGGACCTCGCGTCAGCAATACCCCTCCGGGCGTTAGTACCATTCGAAGTCCTTCGCCCGTACGACCGATGGACAATTTCACACCTTACGTCCCCTTTTCCTTGACGATTATTCGCCGAGACCCAAGTACAGGCCACCAGTGGAATGTGGGTAAAGTCAGCTCGTGCCAGATTGAAACGGAAGAAGAATCCGGATACATCCACCAACGCCCGGCATACGAGGACGGCCCGGAGCCCCCTCCGATCAATATCCTAATCGAAACGTCCGGCTACTGCAAGTTCCGCGGAATGCCCAGCATGCCTAACCGCCAGAGTCTCGACGGACGACAACGTGATTCGGTTGCCTCCTTCCCATCGTCTTTAGTGGATCTGAGCACCTCGGCGGCAGACGCAAACTCGGGCTTCTCAAGACAGGCTTTGATGACCTATACGAAGGGCTGGAGGTCTGGTATTCGTGAGAAATTCCGTCGCGGTGATTCCGAGAGCTCGGGCCACGCACGGTCCCATTCGAGGCAGCGAAGCTCAGACTCGATCGACTTTGAGCATGAGGGACCCATCACGAAGCCAGGTCCGGGACTAAGACCGCAGGGGTACATGTTTACGAGCCCATGGGATGGCCGCTGTGTCTTCCGCACCGGAAACGCAGGCCGAAGCGTCATCTGCCGTCACATCACTGCCGAATCGGGGCAGAGCCATTCGAACCCCTTGGTGCACACGTCGAGCGAGCGCCGCAAGGCAAAGCTTGGTGTGTACCCTCCTGTTAGCGAACTAAGATTCAACCTACCTGTCGCCGATCTTCTCAAGTCACGCGAGGAAGCTGCCCAGCAGCTGCACGATCATTTCAATAAACTGTTAAAGCCCCAGAATTCCGCAGGGTACAGCAGCGACGAGGAGTATTCCGTTCTTCCATTTGATCTCAGCCTGGGCAAAGAGAAGGCGGGCGGAGGTACACGTGGCAGGCGGGCTAAACTTGGAAAACTTATCATCTTTGACGAGGGCATGAAGATGCTTGATTTAGTAATAGCTGCGAATATGGGTATCTGGTGGGGAGCTTGGGAGAAGAGTTTTTGGCAGTAATGAATGGGATGTAATTGAAGGTAGTGAGAGATGAGATTAAATAGTATGAAAAGACAAGAGCGATGTAATGAGCTTATGATGAGTTTATGATTACATCGCAAATGGAAGCAATTGAATGTTCAGAAGCTGAGTGCTTATTAGAGTAAATGGCAGATATGAGTTGGGTGGTCTTGAGTCCTATAATAGATCCGATCGAGGTTTGGGGAAATCCGTAGATCAAAGCTGTTGTTATATCAATTGTATTCCGACAACGGCAAACTAGCCCCAGCACAAGAGAAAGATCATGCGCAATTACTGAGTGTGCTCAGGCTGCAAAGATGAGTTCACAGAAGGCTGAAGTAGAAGGTCAAGCCTCGACCGGTTTGTACCTGGAGCGCCTGTCCACCACAGTTAAATCACGTGACACAGACGACACCAACCAATCAGCAGCGCTCCTATTCCTTTCAGTAATCCCTCATTCGCTTTGCAATTGCTCAATGAACCTCGTGGAAAAGAGAACATTTTCGATCTCCAGACAATCCCAGGCGTCTGCCAACCGCTTCCCGCAACCACCACCTAGGCGATCAATTGGCGCTGTCGTCAATTGATCTTGACAGGGGCTGAGAGACCGATTTCGTCGAGCCGAACGACAACGCTCCCGACCGAACCTCCGCCAATCTCCACTCCGGAACCCCCCTCCCATTCGACAGTCGTCATGCTCTCGACGACGAGACAGCTGCAGCGGGCAGCTCCCAGCGTCGCAGTGGTGCGACGAACACTACCCGTGGCCTTCGGAACCGCGAGGCGAAGCTATGCCACGCCTTCCGGCCCTCCTCCCTCTGGATTCAGGATCACGAAGAAGCAGACGTGGGAGAGCCACCCCGAGTCGACGATGGACTACGTTGGAAATTACTTCCTGTTGACCGAGATGTTCCGCGGCATGTACGTGGCGCTTGAGCAGTTCTTCAGGCCGCCGTATGTTATACCCGACGACGATTAGCTGTGGAGTTTCCGGTTTTCTGACACCGTGGATACAGTTACACCATCTTCTATCCCTTTGAGAAGGTTCGATATTGTCTCCGATATCCGCAGAACACTCGACCTGCACTAACGCCCTGCGATGGATTATTCTAATACCTTGATGAAATTAGGGTCCCATCTCCCCCAGATTCCGTGGTGAGCACGCGTTAAGACGGTATCCTTCCGGCGAGGAACGCTGCATCGCCTGCAAGCTCTGCGAAGCTGTACGTCATGGGTCCCAGATATATCTCCAATATCTCCTCCACCTCTCCCACCTCTAACCAACACAATCCAAACAGGTCTGCCCTGCCCAGGCTATCACTATCGAGGCCGAGGAGCGTGCTGACGGCTCCCGCCGAACTACCCGGTACGATATTGACATGACCAAGTGCATCTACTGCGGCTTCTGCCAAGAGTCCTGCCCCGTCGATGCCATTGTTGAATCTCCCAATGCCGAGTACGCGACCGAGACTAGGGAAGAGCTCCTCTACAACAAGGGTACGTTCTTTTTACTTCCTTTACCTATCTGGATCCGATTTCTGACTTCCTCTGTAGAGAAGCTTCTCTCCAATGGTGACAAGTGGGAGTCTGAGCTGGCCGCTGCTATCCGAGCTGACGCTCCTTATCGCTAAACAATTGACTATGATGGAGTGGAGGATCGTGTAAATATAGAAGTTTTCTAGAGTTCCAAAAACATAAACTGCCCGCTATTCTATTCCATGAATTATTTTGTATCTTGGGAGCTTGTTATCAAATGCATCGTCCACGCGGTGAGACAAGAGCTAGACCCATCATGTTATTGAGCGCATTCCAATGCCGACATTGTCCCTTCAACCGGACCGAGTCAACTGCAGCCAGTTGTTTACACTAGTCATCACGTGATATCAATGTCAACCATCCAACCGGGAAAGCTCCAAGCCCAATGCCCCTAGCTATTCCGAGAAATTTATCATCACCACCTTCTAACGTCAACTTCCTTCGTTCTCCCGTTCCAGGCCGAAGCAGAAAAAACCCACCTCCCCTTCCATCCAAAAACCAGGTCAATCCAACTCATCAAGTCCATAACCCTCATCTCCAGGACCTGTTCTTTCTCCCTTTCCTCAACAAAGGTCTCGTCTAGCCCCCAATCGCTACGAGACAATTTCCAAATCATCCGAGAGAAAATTCCATCGCCGAGGATAAAAATGTTCCGCACCGCCCTTCTCAGGACCGCTCCGGCTCTCCGAACCGTCGCCGCGAGGCCCGCCGTCTCGTCGACTAGGTTCCTTAGCGGCGTCGCGCGCAGGCCCGTCGTGATTGCGCCAACACGCACTGCTGCTTTTGCGGTTAGGTATTACTCTGCGGGGGGATCGCTTAACAAGGAGGAGGTTGAGGGAAGGATCATCTCTTTGCTCCAGGGCTTCGACAAGGTGAGATTTAGGCCTTTCAGCTATTTTTTTTTTCCCCGGATATTTGTTGGCAGGAACTCTTGGAGAGAAGTTGTAGTTTGCTAACAACTCTTTTGAACAGGTCAACGACCCCAACAACGTATGTGTCATTCACCCAGCAATTGAATGGAGGATGGATATCTGAAGGTGGCGCGGCTTTTCTAACCCTGATATTAATATAGATCAAGCCCAATGCCCACTTCTCCAACGATCTCGGCTTGGACAGCCTTGACACCGTCGAGGTCGTCATGGCCATCGAGGAGGTTCGCATTCCCGATCCCCACCCCCGACTCATGATACTTTAGTCAAAAGGAGAACCAACCGTCTAACAACCGAACAGGAGTTCAGCATTGAGATCCCCGACAAGGAGGCCGATGCCATCCACTCCAGTAAGGCTTTTCAACCTGGACACGCTCTGCCATGACCTTATACTAACCCAAATGACTACAGTCGACCAAGCGGTGGAGTACATCCTCAAACAGCCCGACGCCAACTAAATCATAGTCGTGTCCCCGCCGCCGCCGTTTCCACCGAACTTAATCTCTCTCCCTTTAACCATCTAGACGGGTCGAGATAGAAAGAGGAGGGAAAACACAGAAACGATTCAAAACATTCCTGTACAATACGATATAGTTCGCCTCTTTTGCTACAAAAACAAAACAAATACCTCTTTTCTGGAAGACTCCCTTTCTTCCTTCCCGATACAAACCATCTCCATCTCAGCTGGCTTTTTTTTTCCCGAGTTCTCCTTGTTTCCTTGTTCGGCAAACCCCCTTCTCACTTCTGCCGCCCTTTGTCGAGCCGAGACTTCTTGGGGGCGGTGAGTTAGGCATATAGATCTGGATCATCTTTAAATGGCAAATGGGACGACTACTACTCCTTTTGTAACTGTATACCATCTTGTCTTCGTTGTTTCGCCATGTTAAATCTACCTCCTTGGCGTTTCCTCATGACAGTGCTAAGTCACGTCCGCCGTAGTTCCCATCCGGGCCCGTCCTCTGGCTCCATCTACCGTGGAAGTCCCTGAACGAAACGATTCACCTGACGTGGAGAGTCCATGACATATAGAAGTGGGCAGTCGATCAGGATGGTTTGTACGTGAGTAGCTTGCTCTTATTCTGACCCGCTGATATCGATGCGTCTCGTCTCTCGGACTCGCGAAGCAGCTGGCATCTATCACCATCTCACCCATTCGTGGCTCCTTCATCTAGGCCTCCCATTAGAGAGAGGCTATTGATACATTATCTTCTCAAGTCGAATAACGTTCGAGTATGTTCCCCACCCATCCATACCCAATCAAACAAACTCGGCTCATCAAACAGACCCAAAACTGCAGAATAACTGGAAAGATTGACATCCATGTTGAAAAGAAAAGAGAAATTCCTCAAATGATCCCGTCCTAACTTGTCCTTCCGAATGTGCGACTCGCTGCCATGGGGATATCTCTTTCATATTCCATATTTGTTTTTAGAAAACCGACCCGAATGGTGTATCAATGTTTTCAAGGGTAGACAAAACAAAAATCCACTCTCTGACCAGGCGTAAATGACAGACAGGAGGGGAGGATAACTCGAGAAAATAGCAAACCGAAAAACCAGTACCAGAACCAAGAGAAGAAACCGAGCCATCAATGATTTTGCTAATGTCACGCGTGTTCCACTTCCGCCTTTCTACCACCTAGGGTCGCGTTCCATCCCCTTGGCGAAGAAATATCCGTCGCTATCCTGTCGAGCCCAAAACGAGAATGGGCTCAAAAAGAAAAGAGAAACAAACGCCGTGCCTTAGTTGCCAATACTCCTAGACACCCTCGTTGCCAATTGAATAGAATGCTCCTAGCTAATATGCAGTGGAATGCGGGTTACCCCGGCATCCCTCTAATCGCTACCTCTCACAATCTAACCCCCCGTTTTTTACCCCCCGTTTTTTTTTTTCGTGTGTCGCGGTCTGGAAAAAAAAGCATTAAACACAACATACCGATTATCTCTTCGCCAGACTTTCATTCGAGCCGTAACAAGTTCGTGGTTATGCCATTACTAGTCATCGCCCAACAGGATCAGAGGCTTCGCGGTGGTCTTTGGGATCAACATTGACTCCCTTATTGGATCCGGCTAGGCTCCATCCGAGGCCGGAAGGGTGGTTCCTTCGCGATCGACTGGGCTGCTGGTCTTCTTCTTCTTCCATTCTAAAGACGAAAGTGGCATCTTCTTCGTCGATGGGGGTCGTTATGCGGGCTAATGTCGAGCCGATGGATCCAGTGGACACATGTCGTTCAATCGTCCTATCTCGCTCCCTAGGGGCCACGACACCCACGCTTCGTCCGACGGCCGAATTCGGGTGCAGCAGTGGGCTACCCGTTTCCTCATTCAAACGCGTGCGCTGCAACTGTTGAGTCAAGGCCGACATGGAATTGGAATCACCACCGGACCTCGATCCAGAGAGAAGATGGGAACCGTTCTGTCGGCTATCAATCTCATCGGCGAGGCTCGAATTCCGGAGAGGACTGCCTACGTGGCCAAATGCAGATGCTTTGATAGCCCTGCTTTCCAGTTCTTCTTCTCGCTGGCGCTGGAAGAGAGGGCCCCATCGACTAGGGCTGGCAGCACCGATCGGGCTCCCATACTTTGTGATGCCCTCGGGTCTTTCGGCATCTACCGCCCGGAGAGAGCCACGGCGAGCCTTCTCGGCGGGGGTGAGAAGATCTTGTAGATTTTGGGGCACGTAATCTTCTTCGAGGAAAGCAAACTCAGCCTCCCAGTCCCTATCTACGGTGGCTGGCTTGGGTAAGCTCGAACTGAGCACTCGAGTCTTGGTGTACCGACTTGAGTGGAGGGTACGCTTGGCGAAAGGTTCGTCTAAAAAGCCGGCTGACGGACTGCTGGATGGTGGGATATTGGGAGAAAGGTGTTCACTGCTGCCAAAGGCAGAGGTATGGAGGAGCTTCAAAGCTTCTGACGTCCTCGAGTCCTTGGCAGCGTTGAGCGACGGCGAGGGCGATTCAAGGCCGAATTTGGAGGGAACGGAAGATGGCCACGGGCCTGCGGGGTATCGGGCAGCATTTGAAATGCCATTGGAATCAAACGAAGCGGGCAGCGGAGCATCTAGGACGGAGAGGCCCTTTGCATTTGCCGGCGACAACGCAAGGCCATACCGGCTCGCATCGTCGTCGCGTGGTGAGCCGTATACGGAGCCTGAATATCCAGGCGTATCGATAGTGGGAAGGCCGTTCTCAAGACTGGGCTGGCGACCAAGGTGATGGTGTCCATCGTCAGTCGCAGTCTGGAAGGACGTGTAGGTGGGAGTATATGGCGGGATGCCCTCGGCACGATATAGACCGTTCGTAAGTGCACTCGTCGAAGGGTGGTAGTTGTTGGTCTGGGTGGCTGTTGTCGGCCTCACTGGCGAAAGCGTCGGTAGCGCAGGTCCGATCGTCACACCATGCTTGCCATAGTTTATGCGTCGCCCGTCGGGGAGGACATGGATATTGGCGCATTTCGGGCCGAATTTGCAGTTTCCCTACAGGTCAGGATGGTTAGTAACATCCACATCTGACAATACCTCAATCGCATGTCTCGGAATGTGAGGTAGGCATATCTAAGCCTCTATGTTTCGAAAAGCGTACCTTGGCGAAGTATTTGCAGATATTCTCGGATGCGGACGAGAGGTCGTGACTGAAAGGACAGGCATTTCCCGCCTGGCATGCGCCTTGGCGGAAAAACTTGCAGGGGACATGCGAAGTGTCTAGTAATGGGAGGATAAGTTAGAAGACTCAACTTTGTGAAACATTGCACAGGTATCGCATGGGAAGAAGGGAGAACAGCAATGCCCCAGCAGAGTGGGCTGACAGGGACGGGAAACAAGAAGAACAAGCCAGACTCAACCTAAAACTTACTCGGAGGGCTGCGAGGACCGTCAAATCGCGGAGCCGCGGGTGTAGATACGCCATTGGCGTTGTGAATACTCAGACTGTTACCGCGGGCATGACGGTATTCGGGCAAATTGGGCCCCGGCATCTTCTAGCGGAGGATGAGCTCGGTAGAGCGGAAGAAAAATACGTCGTACGAAGCAAACTGTCGGCCTTGGGTAGAGTGTTGGGTAGCGGAATCGACTTTCGGGATCGGTCGGAGTTAAAGAGAGGAAAGGCTGTAGAGAGCCGCGAGCGGAGATCTCGGGCGACGTGGAGTAGCACACGTCGCGAAGAATTGTGACCTCGAGGATCCTGCGACCGACGTGTGGTGATCGGAGGTTGCGTGGGAAGGAGATGGGATGAAGCCGGAAGAGGCGGGAAGAAAAGATGATACAAGTGTGCCGACTGGTAGCGGAATTTCAGACAGGCAGAGAAGAAATTGTTATTGGAGGCCAGGTGCAGTACTTCGTATTTGAGCACTCGGGATGATCAGGTCCAGACAACAATTGAGGGAAGGCGGAGAGGGCTTGGGTGAGGATGAGGGGTTGAATCGCCGGCTTATCTCAGCACGCTTCAGGTGGAATGGCTTGCTTGGGGGCAACCGATAAATGGGGTTGGGCGCCCTGGTCTGAGAGCAAGGGTTGGGAGGGAGGGGGGTGGTGAGTGGTCTTTGGGTTCGGGTCCGGTCCAGGGTCGCTCAATTAAGAAATCTGAATTGACGTGATGGCATCAACCATGTGGGGTTCAACAGGAAAGAGGAGGGAGAGGAACGGAGAAAGGAACGTTCACCAGCGGACTTGGACTGGGGCGGCTGGTCACTGGAGGAGAGGAGATCAATGATATCTCTACCTAGCACAGGCGAAGTAGAGTCTGATGCCGGCGGTCGTCGTCGTTGATTCTTTTCTTTTCGCCTTCTTCTTCTTCTTTTTTATGTATTTTTTTTTTTCTTTTCTCAATTTTGCCCGAGTGTGAAAAGCCCCGAAATAAACCGAGATCTGGCGTCAGATGCTGTGAATGGGCCGGGTTAACCTTTCGCGAACTTAGTGAAGAGAAGAGGCGACAGCGTAGTGTTAGTGCTTTGTCCTGGTGTTATCTGTGGTGTAGGACAGCGCCGAACAACCTGGAGCGGGCCTGGCTGTAACCCCACTAACAGGGCGCTTCAATCTTTGATGTTTTCGAAATATCCAGTCCGAACCGAGTTGAATGCTCCTTCTAGGCGAGGGATGTAGGTGCAGGATGGAAGGAGGTAGAAAGACAATTAAAATCGATCCAGTATTTAAGAAACTCTCCAGGATACCAAGGTCGAAGGGTCAAAGGGTGTGTGGGCTTGATTTAAAGGGCACACCAACCAAGATTATATTATACAGTTGACCAACCAACTTATTCTTGGGAGGGAGGGCGAGGCATAGCTTGTTGTCAGGTGAGGGCCCGTATGGTGGCCTATCAGATGAAGAAGGCGGGAAATGCCTTGATATTTCTTCCCTTTTTCTTCTTTTGTTCCTGTGAGGACGAAGCATTGGGAAGCACCGGAGATGGAGGCTTAAGCTGGCCCCGGACTTAGGCATGGTCACAGTGGTGTGTGGCCTGGGCCGGCGGAAGAGGGTGTGGTGGTACAGTGGTACCAATGGAGGTACACTTTGACCTCATTTACATTGGTGGGGTTGGGATGGGAAAAATGGAAAGGGAAAGTGGGGGACAGGCTCAGGCCCAAGCCCGGGATACACAGCATGAAATATGGAAACCGGGGAAAGGGAATACGTACTCAATGGAAAGAAGGCTTTTGGGGTGTTTTGGGGGGGGTTTGGGGGGGGGAAGTCATCTATTGCCAAGTATGTGCTTGCATGGGAATATTGATATCACGACTTCGTACTGCTGCTGCCACTTTAACAGAACACCTTGGTTTGAGTCTAAGGGGAGGAACTGTAGCAGGAGCGACTGGACAAGAGGTACCGCGGTCCGTCCATTCAGCAGGAAAGACTAACAATATTGAACCGATTGGGGGAGATGACAGGTCCAATCCAGTAAGGGCGTTGCGATACCCCAAATCGAGGCCGCCAATAATTACGCGTAGAGCTGGTGCCCGCTACACGTCGAAGCAACAAAGAGTCGAGCACACCAGCTGGATCGAACATTAGTCAAGAAACCATCAGCATCCGCTCAGCTTGAAAGAAATCAAGAGACGCAACGGGAGACTTGACGCCATCTTCTAGTTCCCTCAACATCAATAGCTTAATTCAAATGTTAGGTACGCCTCGCCTAAAGATGGGTGGGTTCGCCGAAACCTTGGATTGGACCTCGACTCTACCTGTCGAGCGGGAGTGCCTGCTCCTGTATGATCAGGGTGCTTTCTTGAAAAATTTTGGCGGTGAACGAAAGGCGCCGGTGTACAGCAGTACATGCCAACCAGATCCCTGCTCTAATCCGGAAGGCGGGGTCTTCCTAAGGTCGAGTCTGGGCCAGTGGTCTAGCTGGCCAGTCAGCCACTCACATGGCGACGCCTGAAGGCTTGGAGTCGGGTTCAACACTTCATCAGAATGCAAAACTCAGCGGTGTTAGGCCCTTTTTTCTCGATGCTGCTCCCAGATCCTGACACTAGGCGTGGCTTAGTACATCTGTTCGGCCAATTGAATTGTCGTATCTGTCAGCTCCCCTCATACACTTTATGCTCCACAGCACCCATGAACAGAAAGATCAAGATGCTAGTCAAGATTTTGAGGATACAATTGTACCGACGCAACTTCCCGGTCTGTCACGAGGCTCCGGTTCGCACAGGTTGTACACATCTGGGGGCATATTAGGTAAAAACCCCCATGATGGAAGCAGCGAGTGACGCTCTCCCGAGGCAAGTCCTTCTTTATGCAGCCAAGTTGGTGGGGAGCGGGAGCAGGTGACATCAACGCATTCGAAACATGGGGAAGGGGCAACGCAGGCTGTCGTCACGGTCGTCCCTGGCAGGAGAAGTGAAGACCTCCAATGCCGGTCTGGCCTGGCTGTCCAAACTGTTCTCTTCGATTCGGCATCAGTGGCTGTGGGTGGCTCGTTGCTCACTGAAAGCGGAATTGATCGCAAATCTGTGCACCCTCACGGCATGGAGATCAATCACACTGTTCCGACCCTTGTTTGAACCAGATGCAATGCTTCTTGTTGGTGGCAAAAGCAGCAGATGACATCTGTTCGATACAACCGTGATGACTCATTTGAGTCCTCGAATGTCCTCCTGAACTCGAAAATATTTACAATTCGTCTTTCTGCTCAACTCCTCTCGAAGCGTGGGTCGGGCCGCTCGGATTTTCTTGCTTAGGCTATGCAACATCATCCCTGGTGAAGGATCGGATATCCAGGCCGTGCCAGGCCTGTCTTGGCTAGGCAGCGGACGGTTAGTTTTGGCTCTAGGATGGATTCCTCCAGCTTTCGACTCTCCGGAAGTGTCCATTTCACGAGCTCTCAGTGTTACCAGAGAACGTTGCTAGCAGCTCTTTAGGTCAGCGTGACCCAAATTTACACCTTCGACTGAGTTCCCTTGAGAATGGCTCAAGAGATGAGAAAGAAGAGTGCTCACGTCGAGGAAGAAAGCACTGTAACACCCCGTCTCTGATATGACATCATGAGCTACCTCAACCAACCGAAACTAGCGAGCCTTGCAGGATGGCGGCTAGTTGCGTCTCTCGGTCTCACTTAAGCCTATCAACAACTTAACTCGAGCATTCCTTATTAGAGCTGGCTTTCACCCGAAAACTTTCAAGTATCAGTATATCGGCATGTCTGGCTGTGTTCGATTAGGCCTGCAGATTCCTCGCCGTTTCGCCCCGTGTGGGTTAGCCCTTGGTACTCGAGTTGTCCCTATAGACAACGGTAGATGGAGGATTGCCCCAACGAGGAAGAGACAGCCAACACTCAATAGAACCCAGAATCGCCCCTTGTGTCCTTACTGCCGGATTTTAACGAGCGCGGCCACGAAAGGACGTAAAAAAAAGGACGTAAAAAAAAATTGTCTGCTTCCACAGGGGAACCCTGTTTGAGATGTTTCCGAGTGAAACCCACCATCGGAGGGAACAAGAATGGCGCGTTTTGTTGACCGCGACGCCTCGAGGAAACCCAACGGCAACGCCATCCTCCACTACCACCCACCACATTGCCTCCCTTGCCCATCAGCAAGAGTTTCTCATCACAAGTTCGCCATCCTGCCGCTTTTATTCGATTAATCGATATGCCTGGGCCGGTACTCCTCGCGGGAAGAATTCGCCGAGTATAATTAGTGATGGGACTGGGATCATGGGGGTCAAGGTGACCACCTCGTTTACGATCATTGACTGATCCTTGGTGAGCAAGTTTCGTATCTCCGATGTTAACATCGCGCAAAGGACTGGGTGCGCCTGCTCGGCGTTGTATTGGACTGTCGTCATCAGTCTTTTCGTATGAAGTATTGTGGTCAGCTCCAAAGTTTTCAAACGCCTCAAGTTGGCAATTATCATCTGGTTACGCTGCCCCTCGATGCCGCATTAATGGTTCTCTGCTCATCGACCTTTGGACTTTTCCAGTGGGCAGACCATGGCGATGCGATGCCCCCACCTTTCCCTCCTCTGTCTTGGGAATCCGCATCGTGCAAAGGGTCACATTGAACAGGCTGCACTCTTCGGGGTAGATTGATTCTCTTTGGCCGCCTTATCCGCCATATCTACCTGCACGATGGCTATCTGCGCTGCATGCTGCACTGTTTGCCGCTCCCACTAACTCATGCTTGTCAGCGCAGTCTTTCAATAATGTCCGATCGCACACCTATCACCTTCGAACGAGAATTTCCGATGTGGCATTTTGCGACATCCTTGGATAAAAATGATCAACCACGCTTCAAGCCCCAGGAGCAAGCCTGCTCAATGTAACCAAATTCCTGGTGGGAAGATCCTTGTTTAGCCTCCGTTGCAGTGGAGGATCTCTCCACCATCAACGTCAACCAGGTTCACGCTTCACTAGCGCGCCGTCCTTGTATTCAGGTCTATTCTTGGCTCTCCCGTCCCCCAATAGTGGTGCACTTCAGAATATCCAACTTCCTAGTTCGAGCCTCCGTGGGAACGGCTATATTATCCACCAGAACACATCGCGAAAAAT